CACTGCGAGAGGTTGCAATCCATCGATTGATCAATGCAACCTCGATGCCTTAATGTTTGTATACCTTTGACGGGGCACCGAAACGCTTGTACTGACACAATGCGAGCAACCCTACGCTGAAAGGAGTGTCATTTGGTGCTCCAAGACTGCGTGTATACGTACGAGCAGAAGAAGGTGGTAAACGGCGTAAACGTGCTTGATGAAGGTAAAACGAAGAATTTATCGATTATTATAAATCCACTGTCAACAAATTATAGTAACCTCTTTTTAAATTATGTGTCAGTACAAATCTGCATTGTAACGATCTTTTTACCACTCATTGCACACGTCTTTCCGCAGGAAAAATCTCATACCCCATATTAATATTTATTCCACAGTCGCAAAACCAGAACCATGTGTAACACAAGTGTAAATTAGACGAACAAATAGTGCTAACCACACTACACTCAACTGCATCATGGGATAAGAAAATGCGGGATTGCTAACGATTATTTTCATTTTGTAGACAACTGTCATACGAATGGTTGCGCGCGCTCCATTTTGAAAAACGTTTCGTTCAATTATCAATTGCGCTCACAGGTTGATCTTCCCTCTTGCAGTACGGTCACTGCGAGCGGTCCGGTCACACCAAGTGGGCTCGTGGACTTGATGAACCCGGTGTTTTCAAGTACCGTTTGTTTTGATAGAGTAACCAGCAGGTGAGTTCACGGTGGGAGTTTAGTGTGGGTGTGCTGTTTAATTGATGTGTGCTATGTCTGAGTGGACGTACAAGGCGTACATCTTATTCACGAAATGCAGAAGACTGTATCAAATAGGAACATTTTTTACGAAACTAGTTCTAGTCTCAACAGCGATACTTACAAAAATTAAGATGTTTCTACTACGTAATACTGTTTGTTAAAAATGGTTAGTTTGAGACTTTGAAAGTAAGCGTACGAAGATGTTAAACAAAAAATATCAGCAAGGTGTCTCGAAAAACTGTGATGAAAAATTGGGCAATATTCAGGGTACCACCGACCTGACTCAAGGATTGACCTTTCGTACCGGCGTTGCTGCATTACCGTTTATAAATTTTACTGTTTTCATTAAAATCGACAACGCAAGGTAAAGAAGAGCAGTTGCAGAAGCAAGACATGTGTATGCCTACAATTTAGAGGCCCGTGGGAGTTACTTATGACGAAGCGAGACTGAAGGGTGAATCTTCTGGTTTCGTGGTTCCGTGTTTATCGATAGCCGCTCTGATGTGTGCTTAGTCGTCGTTAATAATCAGCACGACAACTTTAACTACTGCCAACTTTTGATGCCGCTGTTCGAGGCGACAAGGGCATAAAGTGTAAGTCAATTGTGGCGCCCGTGCAAGATCATGATGACACTTATGTGCAGCAGTATTAAAACAAGATTCACAGGGCTTAAGATGCGGTGGTATATGGCATGGAAAGAGAACAGAAACCATCTTCCCCGCTCCTTACCCCACACTTATTGAGGTCAAGGCGCGTCATCCCGGTAGCACCGTTGCACTTGACGTAGACCAATGCAATCAATTTACGTTCAAGGTTTTCGGTGTGGCCGTAAGCTGCCAACCTTTTCAATTTTTTGTGGCCGGATTTGATTGCGAACATTTCCGTCACGGAAAGCTGAATGGTGTGGTACGTTCTTAAATCGGTCAAGATGGGAACGGACAGAACGTCAAGCTTCCCATAGTATTTTTTCACGTGGAAACCAGGATAATATTGCGTGATTTTCCATAAAGTGTATGAACGTTGGAATTAATTTTAAGTGTTGATGTCCCTTACGATCGTGTAAGATTTCACGAAGCCGTGAAACTGGTGTTGAATAGGAAAGGTATTAGCGTTTAAATTTGTTACTATTATACACATGCTGCATAATGTAAGGGGAAACTTAAGCGGTTTTTTTTAACCAAGATTGGGATTCTGATATGGAAACTTCAATTTGAAGAGACTGTTGTTGCCTACAATGAAGCCTTTACGAAAATTCAAGCAATTTATGGTAGACGATGTGGACACTTATCTTAAAGACATTGACTTGATTTACTGAGTATTGTTTGCAAACATACCGATGCAAGCGGAGGCCAGCACGATCTGGAGTGAAGCTATTGGTGAACACACAAACAAGATTACAAGTATGCGTTTTAAAGATACTAACTTGCCGCCGATAAAACCATTTTTACTTTTCGGATGGCGCACCGCCGATGCTGTTGAAAGCAATTACAATACTTTTCTTGTTAATGGTGTTCGTGATGCCACGGCTCTAAAGGCAACCAAAATGTCGACGAAGACGGCTATGGAAAAGTTTGGCATGCGACAAGAAGAAACGAGTAATGGACAGCACAAAAGATTACATTGACTCCTTTTGCGCGAGATCTATGGACGTCAGAGCAAAATTCTACGGGCGATACTGAAGTTTACGATCTTTTTCTGAAGTATGGTTCGCCTCAAAGCAACGATATGCAAAGAATCGGCGCATTAAGACTATAGCTTTGAGTGCTCGTACTTTAAATTTGATCAATTGAGATTGCCTTACCGCTACAAAGCCGCCGTGTTGCATACTTTCGGCATACAATCGACACGACTTCGGCTTTCATCCGTTGACCTTGCGAGAAATTTCAAGAAAAGCTTCATGAGGAGGAAAAAAATGCGTTATGGCAGCTCAGTATGTACGAAATTTATAATAAGTACCTGTGCCGACCGTGGAAACAAGCGGGGTACAACACTTAAGGACGTCTCAGCCGCACGAATACGACCGCCAAGAAAAAATGATGCTGTACTGCACAGCCGATCGTCTTGGGCGACATGTTGGATTCTTTATTTTTGGTACTGCAAGTCACGACATGTATTGTGATGCCCATCACCACGCCACATAAGTACCACTCTGAAGGATCCATTGCATCCATACTCGATTGAGGCTGCATTGTATGGATCTTATGGATCATGGTAATATTTCATCGATGCAATGCACAATCACTTCCAGGTTCGACAAAGTCTTTGGACATAAATCGTACATACTCCAAATTTTTAGCTGCTGAAGAGCAACTTCAGTGCAGACAATGCAGATTGATTACGGTGCGGCTTGCAATAACATGCTGATGGGAAAAGAAGCAAGTTAACGCGAGCTGTGTAACAATTTACTTGTTTACCACAATTTAGCATTAAAACTTTCAAAACATCTTTTTAACTTGAATTACCGCGCGTCACATATGTACATAAATAGTCATGTCAAGTAATCAGCACCAAACACAGCAAGAAATGACCTGCTGGTATCACTGTTTGAGATCGATTACGGATTATGCACTACTTGAAATAGTCATCTGCCTGTCATGAATAAGCTGTACGCCTTGTACGTCCACTCAGACATAGCACACATCAATTAAACAGCACACCCACACTAAACTCCCACCGTGAACTCACCTGCTGGTTACTCTATCAAAACAAACGGTACTTGATCACACCGGGTTCATCAAGTCCACGAGCCCACTTGGTGTGACCGGGCCGCTCGCAGTGACCGTACTGCAAGAGGGAAGATCAACCTGTGAGCGCAATTGATAAGTGAACGAAATGTTTTTCAAAATGGAGCGCGCGCAACCATTCGTATGACAGTTGTCTACAAAATGAAAATAATCGTTAGCAATCCCGCATTTTCTTATCCCATGATGCAGTTGAGTGTAGTGTGGTTAGCACTATTTGTTCGTCTAATTTACACTTGTGTTACACATGGTTCTGGTTTTGTGACTTTTGCATTAAGGTGGTACTGGTAACGAGATGTGCTCTCCTTCGTACTCGGCAATGTTGGTTGACATCATGGTCTATTTTAACTAGCGCCCATAGTACTGCCATCTTAAGTACATATTATATGCTGATACAGACAGCTCACAGTTAGAATACAGTTAAATAACCACGGTTGAAGGACCAACACACTATTAAAACCGCATTTTACTGGACAAAAAAACACATACAAATTTTAAGTTTGTTGATTCTATCGCACAGCTATTGGACAAAAGAACGTAGTGACGCCCGCCACCCAATCTATTCTCCCCACGCAAGGACAATACGCAATTTCTGAACACCTCCACAGACAAACACGACGTGCGAATAGCGCTCCACACGCACCTTTACTTCGTCCAGAAGAGAGCTCTACAGACACACCAGCGAGAGAACCCTGGACTCACGCAAGCCGATCTCTGTCGATGGTCGTTGGGAGAGTTTGGAGTCCATGTTGCACGGTCCACGATCAGCATAATTCTGAGCGAGTACATTCCTGTCACCCTCAATCCGAGAGCCAAACGGCAGCAGAAGGGCAGACATGCCGAGGTGGAGAAAGCGCTGTTCCATTTCGGGCTCGACACTTAAAGTAAAGTCACGTTGACCGACTTCAATTTCCACCAAAAGGCCAATCAACTGCTCGTGGACGCAGGTGTAACGACGACGCTCTCGCTTTCGTGGGTGTCGAGATTAAAAGCCCGACACAACATCAAGTCTTACCGACTGCATGGCGAGGCGGCCTCAGTCGAGCTAGAGACCCTTCACCAGCGGCGCCAGGAACTCCGGACCCTTCTCGACGGCTACGCGGCGTACGATGTTTTAAATATGGATGAAAACGGTCTAATTTATCGCATGATGCCTTCGCGGGCTCTGGCAACGATGCCTTTTAGTGGCAAGAAGAAAGATGAGTCGCGCATTTCGGTAGGGCTATGCTCCAACATGGATGGGAATAAAAAATTGGACCCTATCGTGATCAACAAGTCCCTCAACCCCCGTTGCTATAAGCTATCGACATTTCCAAGCTACCCGTCCGCTTCCATGCAAATACAAAGGCACGAATGACTGGCGGCGTCTTTGCAAATTGGTTAAAAGCGTTCAATCTCAATATGAGTAGGCGAAACGTTCTTCTGCTGCTCGACAACGCGACATCACCTGACAGTTTGGCAGCTCTCAAACGTACACATTCACTTCCTTCCGCCATATACCACCTCCAATTTGCGGCCGATGGACGCGGGCATCATTCGCAACTTCAAGCTCAAGTACAAGACCCAATTCGTGCAGTGGCTACCGGACATGGTGACGGCGGGGACGGACGACAAGAAGCTCGACGTTCTTAGCGCAATCCGTATGGTGGTAAAGCTGTGGGCTGAGGTGCGCCCTGAAACGATTCGACACTGTTAGATCCACACAGGAATCGTGTCTGGAGTTATGGCGGCAGTGCTCCGTAGGCAAGACGAGCCGGTCCGTCCCAATGATATCTCAATCCTGGCAAATCTAATCGACAAACTATCCTTATCTGATGGAATGGTAGCAGATGTTTATCTGGAGTGTGACAACAACTTGGAAGAATGGGAACCAGACTCCGATGCAACTGCCACCTCTGAACCGTTTTTGTGTGATGACGACAGCGACGGAGACGAAAATCCCATCTTCACTCATCGCGACGCGCTGAATGCTGCAATACAATTGTCTATGTACCTATTCGCACACAAGATCGACATTGCACACAAGATTATTATTGTGGGGATGCAACTGCTGACCAAGAAATGCCGTTAACAGCTTCAACAGAGCATGCACCAGCAGCAAATCAATGATTATTTATTGGAAAAAGTAAGCTCGGTGGTCCATACTGAAACTAACAGCACTTACTTAATAGCACGCGGAAATGGAACTGATAGTTAATATGTTAAATAACTTAGATTTCTACATTTTTCTTCACATCTTACTTTCCTAGAAACTTGTTTCAATTGCTCAATTCCTTTAGAATATTCCCAAAGATTTTATTTGACTATATTCCAACAGAAACGAAGTTGTGTCCTTTAAGTTGATTTCGATCTTAAGAACACAGCAAAATGTTATGGACGAATCGCGCTCTCTAATTGTAAGTTATTTGTATGATAATATACGAATATTTGCTAACAGAATATTATATTGATATATTTTCCATTTATACAAATTTTGCTAAGGCCACCCCCCTTTACAAAGCTTAGCTTCGTCGGGTCGGCTGAGGCAGTGACGCCTTGATGTTTATTCCTGGGTCATGGTCGTGGGATTCCGCGGCGTAAATCTACCTTATAAAAATCATTGTATGGACGCTTACCCCCGCAAAAGTTTCTTAAGTGACTTGAAACAACAACGAGGTGGTTCGTATTCAGCACTCGAAGCCAATCGTCCCAAAACATATGCAAGTTTTGGGGCGATCGAATGTGCACATGTATTCATTGTTTTTAAGTGTGATGGACAACAAGGAGAAGGGGACAATATGAAAACTTAATTTGTTTTGTGCTGAAAACATTGTGTTCTATTTACACTTGATTCAACGACTATTCATTAGTCCTAATGATTTCTGGTAACTCTGGTTCAATTACGGAATTGTATCCGAGCATTATCAGACAGGTGGAGAATAAAAAGAGAAACCGTGGCTGTCTATCGTATGACGTTGCATACTTGAGAATAGACGACGAGGAGGAATTGGGTGGGTTGAAATGTCGTGGCCAACGACGCAGAAGATTACGATGCATGATACAATCGTGAGGGGGGCAACGAAGCATGAAGTGAAGGACCTCATGGTTTTTGAACCCTAAAACATCAAGCTAAGAAGCATGGACTGTAGTGAATCACTGTGGGTTAATATCGTGTTTTATCAGAATGCTTGGACGGAGGTTTGTCGACGATGATAACAGTGGCTGTAGCGGTGTGTAGAAGACCAAGATTTGAGACGGATGCAGCAATTGGGCTGTTATCACGATGGATAGTACGCCGGTGGATATGCAATTTTGATAAAAGCACGAGATGGACACCGCCGCCTGACGTGACCAAGGTAACGAGAGGGAGGGCAAATCTTGCCACCGATCTATCGCTTGGTTCGCTTGAAGCACAAAGGTTACCGCTAGGTTAATTTATAGTGCAACCGCTGGTGATATTTTACTCTCTCAATACGTAAGGGTGGCAAGATGCTACATCTCTAGATTGAGGCAATTTGTATTATTGTCCATGTACATATTCCACTGTGTCGATAAAATCTCAATTTAGTCGGTTGCTTTTATTCGATCTACCTGCGGATGACGTGAGGTTAACATTTAAATGGAATGTTACGTAGTAACTCGTGCATCCTTGAAGAATCGAACGATCTAGTTTGAGCCGGTACTGCTTCTTCAAAGCACTAAAGCAAAACGCGAAATGTTTCGGTGTAGCTGTGAGAAAGGTTGCCGAACAACTTTGTAAATGTCTCGTATCTCTACTTATTAATCGTTTCACTGATATTCTTGTTCTTTGGCTTGACACCTCTGGATATGTGCTCGTAGACATCAAGAGTTGTGCCATCGGCGCTGTTGAACCAAATTTTGATGTTTTATGATTAGCTTTTTCACGCGAGACGTAGCAGGTATCTAAATTGCTGTAACCAGTCCATGGTGTAAAAGACCTGGTCAAAGGAAGCTTGTTCACATTCGGATATGATACTGTCCTGTAGTCCTATATAAGACAAACATTACATATTGCGAATCAACTACAGAAGCGAGGGTGGATAAAACCTTACTGCAATCTGGTAGCTGCTGTCATTCTCCACAAACTTGGTCTATGAAGGAGCAAGGATGACATCGTGTTAGTGGGCCATATATGCTGACCAGATCTTCTTGTCAGAATCCGTAATTCTTTCTTTGGCATCGAATTATGATGTGGCTGACAATATAAAAAACGGCAGATGATAACTCAAGCGCTTAGCCATTCCCCTCTAAAATACTTCATTAGTCCAAGGTCGTAATTATACGACGAGAATTCTCGGGTGTCGCAAAATTAAATTTGTGGTTAGCGCTAATGATCCAAACTTTGTTACAGATTATTCATCGTACGTGAATTCTACGGCTGCAGTGAAAGTTGTTTATATACATATGAACACGTGACGCGCACGAATTGGGAAGCTGTACGAGTTCGTCTTGTAGTTGCAATCGATGAAAATTTTTTGCGGTTACGCAGAGTAAACTCCTTCGGCAGTATTGGCGGCCAAAAGCGATGCCAACGTGGTTTTCTTCTTCCGCCGCGACCGTCTCCTAAAACCTTGGTTGACATTAGTCTGTAACAAAATACATTGAGTGAATATAGCAAAATTGCTGAGGAATAAAAGATGAGCACATACTCGTGGATCAGCTCCATTTTATGCATCTGGATGACCTTGAAATCGAAATCCTTGCCGCATCTTGTATCACGACCTGTCGATGGTAAAGTCGAGAGCATAATCTTGATAATGCATTGGATGTGGCCATTACAGAATTCATTAATAAAGCGTCGACCACACGCTTTATTTTGACGCGTGCTTGTTGCAGATGATCGTAAGCTCGTATAAGGTGCCTACGTGTTTAGTCAGCGATGACATAGCTCGGCCGCGAGATTTCTTGTAATGCTTTCCTCGCCTGCAGTAATATACGTGCGTTGTTTTGATTCGAAAGCTGCGGCAGATGTGACGGGGTAGCCCGTTTCATGATATTGACACCAAACGGTGTCAATAGGAAGATTGTCTAGCGTGACAATTCCCTGCCAATATTACAGTAGATGGATAATTTTAAAGAAAAGTTATCCCCTTTGGATGATATTCATGCGCTGCTCAAAGATTGGTCGATAAAAGACATATCAACCAATGTTACCACCAATGGCGGCTAGACGCGCGCAATGAGTGGTGAGCAGGTTGTCGTCATACGACGACGTAGTTTAATTTAGCTCTGCACGTACTAGTGTACGTGAGCTTTCATGGCACCCCAAACAAAGGGTGCACCGTTAAAGTAGATGCTTACAACAAAGCATAGGCGTAGCTAGTACTGTATAATGGCTGCTCCGGCGTCTATTGCTGAAAATCTTGGCTAAAATATCTTCTTGAAGCTTCATGATAGAGCGGCAGGGACAGTTGTGACATTACGTGAATTAGCTGAAGCCACACCATCGGATGAGAGGTGTGACGTGGTTTTGTGTTTTGAGGTTAGCCAAGGGTACTGTTGTCGCTAATGCAACAAGAAGAGGATAGAATGATAAGTAGATGATTGTTAGCTAGGTCCTTAGTTCAACGGTTCTACTTCTAAGCACATTCATATCGACTCTACGATAAAACTACCCAAAGATGAGATGTACTTCATCGTTACACACAATCCCATTGTGTACTCTCTCCTATGTTGTGTATGGTAAAGAAACGTTTCTATACCATCAACAGTTACGCACAATCCCGTTGTGTCGTCCTTACCCATGTGGTGCACCTTTTGTCACCACAATCATCCCATCTGCACACTGCACCAACACGTTGTCATCAATTTGACACTTGTGAGAGATGTCAATGAACACCGAAATAATTCAGATAAGGGGGGTTCTTAAAATGATAGTTGACATAAAAATTAAGACTGATGGATAGCCGAAAACAAATTGTGTGTGGTTAGGCAAAGCTACATTTTTTTGCTAAATTTTTTTGTTTTTGATCATCACTGAATCGCGTATACCGCGATCGCTAGGTGTAAATGGTGGGCACTGTGGTAGAAATGGCAAATGTTTAGGGTGGAACTAGCAATATTTTATGAAACATTCTCTAGAAAAATCGAATAAATAACAAGCTAAAGAATTGAACGAAACATTACCAGATTAAGTGAATATAGAAATTGGATTTCTAAAAAGAATCAGAAATGAGAAAATTTGAGTTTATAGCTTAGAATTGTGGCTGAAAACTGAAAGGAAATAAAGTGAACCAAGAGATGCACTAAACGTAAATATAGATACATCACTTACGAGTGAAGGTCGGCCGTGACTTTTCCGGTCGCCGTTATGTCTATGGTACTTAGGGCAGCTTGGAAGCAACCGGTGACAACGATACCATGACATGGTGTACTTAAACTCACAGAGTGTAGAGGACGATCCTTTCACCGCATCCGTGACGCCTGGTCCGAATCCAAAGAGCTACAATATGTCGACATCGCTCAAGTGAAAAGTAAAAATGAGAGAGAATGGAGCTCGCGGTGGCTGATGATATCAGGTCGGCCATTGTATTCTTCGGGCACTTGATTGGACACCATAACAAATTTTGTCAAGCAAGTATCTTTGTGGTCGGATACAGACCCATGCTATGATGACGTATTTTAGTTTAACTGTTACTACGAAGGAGATCGACAATCTCACGAATGTAGCATTATTAATCGTCTGTGTGCTATGCTGCACGTCCGATAGAGTCACGAGTGAATGTGTTCCTTTTTATTGAGCCTATGATCACTCTGTAAGGCTGTAATACTTACGCGATCTGTTGGTTCGACTTTGTCAGGTCGATATCCAATCGGTGTCCTGCCTCCTACCAATTAAGAAGCATTTGGCCAGCTATATCGAATATGTGTATGTATTGATAGGTATGCTAAACCCTGTACCTGACTGCCACTATCATCTATCGGGTCAGCATCTACATCCATTGTTCAGATCTTGATGCTTTGTTCTACTTACGTATGCGACCCCACACTGATGTGTTCATGCAGTAGCCTTACAACTTTAAGTGAAGCAAGTGTAGTTCTTGAAATATTGACAAGTGGCGTAGACACAGAGTACATATCGTGCGTACAGTATCAATCCTTCGTGCCTCTTTTCGAGCGCATGCTAAAATCCTTGATGCATTGTTCTCCTTGTCATTTTGATGTTTTTTAGATAAGTCAATATTGTAGTTTTAAAATGAACATTCAGTAGAGACCTGAATCAATAAATTTCTTTTTTTGCTTTTGATTTGGTCTGACCCAGGGTCTACATCTTTGTAAACTCATTTTCACCTGAAATTACATGTATTAAATCATAAAAGTTTTGTAAAACCATTTGAACTGTCATTAGTGCAAGAATATATTACTATTTGACAAATATATTACTATTGCATAATATACCAGTAACGATTCGCAATCGAAGTAAATGTGCCAGTCAGTAAGACGCGGAATTAGTAAATGTTTGATGGAGAATATGAATTGATCCTGATTTATCAAGGGTATGCTTGTCATAGTTTCCGGATGGCGCAAAGAAGTGTTTCCTGTTACAGGAGTTCCAATCAACGACAGCACCAACGTTCAACAATGCATGCCGCCCAACATCATCGAAATTCAATGGATCATCTACCACAAGTCGCACGCGGCTCTATAGCCACTAGCCGAAAGCGGATCGTTGTTCAGTCGTTGCTCCCTGCGCTTATTGCGCATTGTTACGAATGAACTCCTCGGCTTTCTCGAATTTCGAGCTCACGTACGACGCCGCTACTTCGCCATTCTTGTACACGCGGAACGTCGGAAAGCTGTCGACATCGATCTCTTCGCAGAACTCTTCGAGCTCTTCTGCACTCACTTTGAGAAACTTGACATGAGAAAACTCCGACTCCATTAACTTGGTCACCTTGGGCGCCACCATCTTGCACCCGCCGCACCACGGTGCCGAAAACTGCACAACCGTCAGCTGCTTCTCGCCAATAGCGGCGTGAAACTCCTCTGGTGTTTGGATTGCAATCGCCATGTTCGACAATAGTGAAGACTCTGCGCTTTTTCGAAACTGACTGGATGGGCCACCAAATAGGGACGAGGCGGAGATACTCTTGCTGACGTCAGCAGCGCGTCGAGCTCACCCGGTCGCGGCTGCTCATTCGCTATAAATCGAGCGCGCTTTTCGACGAATCGCTGGCAACGACAGTCAGGTTGACGCGCGACACTTCAGTGACGTTGCGTTACTTCTTGGATAAGTAGGTACAAAGATCCGTACCCTCTCTCTCACACAACATCCACACATCCCCTGTGCTTTGTGTGTTCTTTCGCACCAGCTGTAGCCATGTGCATCCCTCTTTCGTTATGCTCGTTTGGCTGCGGAATTTCATTTTATCCAATCAGCAGCCTCGAAGCAGTCAACACACACCAACACCCAAAGCGTCAGCAGTCGGAGCATGAGCGCGGCGGACGCGGCCCGCAGCAACGGGAAGCAACGTCCCGACAGCTTTTGCCATAGTAGCGACGGCCGGACGTCCCTCCACTCTTCTTCTCCACTGCGTGCGCCGTCCACGGGGGGAGCAAGCGGCCGCCGCAGCGTCAAAAGCCCTTTCGCGATCGAAGAAGGCGAGTTTGTATGGGTCGGCGACGAGAGCGGCGTCTGTACGTCAGCTGTCGTCGTGCGTACGGGGTTCGTGTTTGACGACGAGCTGGACCAAGAGCAGCACATGACGGTCGTGCACACGGAGGACGGCGAGGAGCGCGCGCTCCGTGGCCGTGCAGTCGTGAAATTACCCGCTTGTCATCACCCGAAACAATTGCTAGCGGTCGAGCTACACGACTTGAGCACTGTGCCGCTCATGGCTACAAACGTGCGTGTCTTTCTTGGGCTCGCAGCTGATTCTTTCAAGTATGCTTTGCTTACAAGGAAATGTCGTTGTTGTTGCTGCTGTTGCGGTTCTTTTTTTGTATTTTGGGTCGTGTGCAGGGGGATACAGGACGGACCGAGACGTTTACGTCGGAACAGCTCGAAAATGTCGTGCTGTATACATTGCGAGCGAGGTATCGCATGGAGCAGGTGTACACGTGGGTGGACCGAGTGCTTGTAGGAATGAACCCCGTAGTTCCGTTGCCAATTTACACACCAGACCATATGCAGGCGTACAATAAAAGTAGAGAGCAGACGGCATTTTACGAGAAAGACACGGTGAATGACGCACCACCTCATGTATTTGCACTCGCGCAGAACGCACTGCGTTGTATGCAAGACGCGGGAGAAGACCAAGCCGTGGTTTTACTTGGTAATATGGGTGCGGGAAAGTCAGAGGCGGCGAAATTGATTGTGCAATACTTGTGTGAGATTGGAGACAGCGCTCTTCCTCGGAATGATTCGGAAAGCGATTCCGGTGTGCTACACCCCATTGGCCAGCAGATCCTACATGCTTTTACGATTTTGGAAGCTTTCGGAAATGCTGCTACACTGTTGAACCCAAACTCTTCGCGTTTTGCCAAGATGATCTCAGTGGAGTTTAGCAAGCATGGCTACGTGATTGGAGGCGGGTTCACGACGCATTACTTTGAAAAATCACGCATCGTTGACTGCAAGAACCACGAACGCAACTTTCACATTTTATACCAGGTGCTAGCAGGAGTGCAACACGACCCTACACTTCGCGATATGCTGGAGCTGAATAAGAGCTTGGATGAATTTGATTTACTAAAGCGGACGGACTCAAATCTTACGAACTTTGCTCTTGATGCCCGCGACTACCGAGACCTTATGTCCAGCTTTTCAGCACTGCGCATTAGGAAGAACCAACGTGTGGAGATTGTGCGCATTGTGGCAGCGTTGTTGCACCTCGGCAACGTGGATTTCGTTCTCGATCCTGAGGGTGGCAAGTCGTTAGGCGGTGCTAATTGTACGACAGTGAGTGACGTCCATTCGTGTGCTTTGAAGGATCCGCCTCAGATTTTGCTTGCTGCAAAGCTTCTGGAGGTGGAGCCAGTGGTGTTGGATAACTATTTCCGCACGCGCCAGTTTTTCTCAAAGGATGGTGGTAAAACAGTGTCGTCGTTAAAGGTGGTTACCATTCACCAGGCACGCAGGGCACGCGACACTTTCATTCGAAGTTTATACGAGTCACTGTTCAATTTTCTCGTGGACACACTAAACAGCATTTTGGGCGGCATCTTCGATCGCTACGAGAAATCAAATATTGTGATCAATTCGCAAGGCGTGCACGTGCTGGACATGGTCGGGTTTGAGAATCTAGAGCCGTCACAAAACAGCTTCGATCAATTGTGCTTCAACTACTGGAGTGAAAAGGTGCATCACTTTTATGTGCAAAACACACTAGCAATAAGTTTGTCGGACCTCGAAGAGGAGTCGCAGCAAGTGGAGAACCGATTGACTGTGCATTCCAACGTGGAAATAACGAGTGAGCAGGAGAAATGTCTTTTGTTGTTCGAGGACAAGCCCTCTGGCATTTTTGAGCTATTGACCGAAAACGCATCGGTGCGATCTCCAAATGATGAGGATTTCGTGAACAAACTGTTTTCCGGAAATGAAGGCTTGGCTGGGTTGTCACGGCCGAATACGGGCGCCCATACAACAAACGACTACTTGGCACCATCAAAAGACTGGCGTCTGCTGTTCATCATTCAGCACCACTGTGGCAAGGTTACATATAACGGGAAGGGGCTCTCTGCTAAGAACGCTCTCGGCATATCGTCAACGTGTGCAGCAATAATGCAGTCGTCGAAGAATGCTGTGCTGCATGCTGTCGGTGCGGCTCAAATGGCTGCAGCTTCCGTTGAAAAGGCGTCAAAACAAGCTGCTCAACGAGGGAGCACTTCGTCCAAGTTTAGAAACTCGATCAGCTCAGCAAAAGAAGCCAAAGTTGCTGGTGAAAGCTTAGTGGCAAATGTTAGCAATCAAGCAGATGCCCTGCTGCATGCGCTGAATCACACTGGTAAGAACTTTCTTGTTTGCGTAAAGCCAAACGAAGAGCTGAAAGAGGGTGTGTTCGACTCCGCCTATGTGATGAAACAAATTCGCGATAACCACTTGGTAGAGCTAATGCAAGCAAGTCGGTTTGTTTTCACTGTGCACTTAACGTATGGTCACTTTTTCAGGCGGTACAAAAATGTGTGCGGCCACCGTGGCACCTTGGAGTCTCTTCTGCGTTCGTTGTCCGCTATCGGTGTATTGGAAGAGGAAAAGATTGTGGTTGGAACGAAAAAGGTGTATCTGACAAGCCACCAATGGAAAAAACTGGAAAAGGCTCGATTTTTGTATCTGAATGCGTGCGCGACAATGATTCAGCGAAACATGCTTCGTGGCGGATTCCGCAAAAAGTCTGCGCGACTACTGTATGTTATGCGGGGTTTGCGTGAAGCCATAGCTCAGCGTGATCAGAATGATATCATCCAGCATCTTGCGAACTGTATCCAAATTATAGGGAAACGCGCGTCAGAGGACGTTCGTGCGCTGAACGAGGCTCGGAAGCTGATTGCACGCCTCGACGAGGAAGAATATGTGAATTCTATCATTTCCGATGCTACTCGAATCGGGCACCCCGCCTTGATCGAGTATGCCGTACGGGTCGCTGAAAAGAGTTCTCCATGGTTAGCTGTCGACCATTTGCGTAGGAAAAGCAAAAGCATTGTAGAACTTCAGAAGCAGAAAACAGAGAAAATTGCAGCGATCAACAAGAAGCTGCAATCCTCAATGATTGCTAATGACCCAGAAGCACTCATGGGGTACCTGGCTACGCTAGATGAACCTTCGGTGGAGTCGTTGGAAAGGAAACTTGCTACGATGATGATCATCCGAGCTCTTGAGGAGAAGAGTGTTACGGAGGCCGTGGCGCACGCTCTCTCGGATATTGTGGCAAGTGACGACAGTTCTGTTGTTCTGAACAAGTTGCTGGGACCCGCAACTAAAGCATTGAGACTGGGCGTTGAGGCCAAACTACCCACTCTTGTTGACACCTTGCGCGCAATTTCTATTGACGCCGATGGCATTGCTGAAAAAGAGGAGGTGCGAGAGAAAGTAGAGGAGGTAGAAGTAACGATTGAAGGAGAACCTGCAACTGAATGCGATGACACTACAAATTTGTTCGCTGCTCTGGAAAAAGCTTTGGATGATGAAAATTTGATTGCAGTGGAAAGGGTTTTGGTCCGACTGAAGTTGCTTGGTATTCCTGATGGGGACCCACGAATTTTGGATGCCGAGCGTCTAGTAGATTCTCAAATCGTTCCTGCAAGTTCCCATGCAGAACGGAAGCAAGTGGTGAAGTTCTTGGCAGTGGCAAAGATCTCACAGGATATCGATCTACTGTCAGAAGCGATTGAGGCTGCAGTCGAAGTTGGTTTAGCAAAGTGGGACTTTAACTTAAAAAATGCCGAACGTGAGCGGGACAGGTTGCTTGCGGCTGCTGCTGACAAAGAAGACATGCCTCCTCCATCTCCTGTTGTAGCAGCAAATCCTTTATCGACAAAGCCGAGCACTCCTACAATGGACGAGGAAAATGCGTTGGGGCTTGCATCGATCAAAGGATTTCTGCTGATTTGGGAGGCTCGTCATATTGATGAGTTGGACCAGGCGCGAACCTCTATTTCGCCTTGCTTAGAAGCTGCATATGAAGCTAAGATGGAACGATTGCAGCAAGTGGCTGGCGTCGAAGATGCATTGAGTCAGGCAATCGGTGCTGATGATCCTAAGGTTGTGGAACACGAACTAGGAAAATCTATCAGTATTGGATTCTGCTCGCCGCTGTTTCCTGTGTTGTTTGACAGGTACTCGCTGCTTCAAAAAGCGAGGGACGGCGCAAGTGCTGCTGATGGGACTTCTGTCCAGGATGGATTGCACGCGGCTATTCAGTTTTTGACTCGTCGAGTAGAGGCAAAGGCCGAGATTCGCGAAGACGCTATGCAGCTCCTGTCTACTGAGATTGATGAATTCTCGAGTCCGTCGAATGGTGAAAATGAAGATGAATACGATGGCATTGAACGTGAACGTGTGCTCGATATAGCAGGCAAAATGCGACAGAGTCTAGAGGCTCGCATTGCCGCTGCTACCCGCTTGGAAGCAATCCTGGCACTTCCCACTATTGAACCGTCCATAGGAGCGCTGGAACAAAGTATTGAAGCTGCAAGAGAGGTCGGTGTACATGAGCGCCTCCTAATGAAAGCTGAAGACAAGATGGTGACAGTACGAAGAAGACTACGAGTTACTGGTGAGCGTCCGCAGACTAATGGGCATGGTTTTCCTACTCACAACGATTGTCCAAGTAGCAGTATGCAAGGTGGTGGTGAGTGTCCACCCTGCGATACATTGGAGGGGCCAAGTGCTTCCGGTGAAGTTGAGAGCGCCGACAGTTCGCGTGACAAAAGACGGAGCGGGGAGAAGGATGCATTGGCATTTTGCCATTTCGAGAACTTGCGTGGTTTTAACGCTCAGTCGGAGCGTTTTCTTGCCAACAAACTATACTGGGAAAGTCGTGCTATCTTGCAGAGCTTGTCGGTGCTTGATGACAACTCGGACGGGGTCGCATCCCAGTCTGCATCTGCGTCTGCTGGCAAAATGGCGCTTTCGATAAATCGGTGTATTTTAGGGTACATGCGCGATCGTATCGTGTTTTACCGTGAAATGCTTGCGCATTATATCCTCCAGATTGGGCTGATGAAGCCCTGCCTCGTGGATGAAATCTATTTGCAACTGATGAAGCAGCTGACGAAGAATCCCAAGCGAGACAGCAGCATTCGCGGTTGGTCGCTGTTTGCCATGTGCACGACCTCTTTTCCGCCATCAATGGCGCTCCAGAAGTATGTGCTGATGTTCTTGAAGGCACAAATTGCCGAATCCAATAGTTTCTGGCGACTTGTGCGCAACTTTGCAGCGTATTCGCTAAAAAGGTTAGAGAACCTGCTTGAAAATGGGGCAACAGGTTTTATTCCCAGCATTGACGAGATCCGTGGCTACGAAGCGCGACCACCTTTTCTTGCAACGATTCAATTGCTGGATGGCACCCCGTTAGCAGACGCCTTCCCGGTCACACCGGAGTTTACTGTGGCACAGCTTATTGAAATATGTTCCCACTTCCTCGGCCTAGAAGATCATGTTGTCAACTTCTTGGGCCTCACTGTGATATCGGAACGCGTAGCTTATGGCAAGAATGGATCAACGAGCTCAGTGGCGATGTCGACGACCAGTTCGTTTGCAGCGGCTAATGTCGATAACAACGATCCGGCTGCTGCTGATGATAATGATGGCAGTATTAAGGAAGTACCATCCTCGCCAGCTCTTGGTGTGAATCTGTCAACGTCGTCGACTACTTCTTCGGCACTCCCATCGAGCTACTTTCACAAATTTATCGCAGCCCCTTCTTTCTTGAACGCTGGGATGTACCTTGGTGATATTTTCGAGAAAGAATTAATCCGTGGACGCGATGTGCGGTTCTTACTTAAGATCCGGCTGAATCCTGTCTATATGCTGCAGTACTCGGATGAAATGTACGATCGTCTCGTATACATTCAGGTGCAGGACGAAATCGTTAAAGGAAACTTACCAGTGCTGGAAGAGCAGTCTCTGCTTCGGCTCACGGCACTGGCTATCGCTGTGGACTGCGAAGAAGTCCCACCTGTTTCAGTAGAGGAAATGTTGGGAATGGGTGTTTTGGACTACATTCCGCAGGAGTGGCAAACGGCGCACGATGAAGAGGAATGGGCTGAGCTGGTGCTAGACGCGATCACGGACAACTTCCTTGACGAGCAGGACGCTCTATTTCCCGTTAGCGAGATGCAGCGCATCTACATTGAAGAAGTGACGCGCCACCGATTATACGGTGCAAGTTTCTTTCCCTCCAAGTTGGTGAACCGCGGGTCGAAGCGCGATGGCTCTGGTAATGGGCTCAATTACTGTTTGGGCATCGAACTGCCAAACTATTTTGTTATCGCTGTGAACGGCTATGGCATGCATATTCTTGGTCGTGACGGCTCCATGCTGAGTTTTTGCGAATACGCGGACATCGCATACTGTGGTGGCACGTACCCACAGTATAAAATCTGTTTGAAGAAGGCATCGGATGTAGCTGCCCCGACGGAAGACATTATCGTCACCACCAAGTATTCAGATGAACTCGATGCTCTTATCACTGACTACAAGGAGATTACAGCGCTCATGAATGAGGCGTAGCTATTGTGATTGCATGTGCTAAAACGCATAGCCTGTCAATCTACTCATTCTGCTCCGCGATTACAAAGTGGTGGTCACTGCGCAAACAAACCTATGCGAAAGCAGGAGATAATCTCACGTTTAAATTAACAACCGGCGCTTGGCTTCCACCTCGACATCAGGAGAGAACGCGACCAGCAAGAACGTTGACGAGATTCGAACTCTCATGTTCTGGAGCAAACACACAAGTCGGGTGCTCACCAGTCCACTTTGGAATGCGGTACGTGGGGTCATTCATCAAAAACTGCATCGTCTTCTCCATCACCACATCCGTCTCTTCAAACAACCGCACCCCTGTTTCCTCAGCTCGGCGATCCAGTTTTGGCATAGTCGGTTGCAAATTGACAATACACAACGAGCCTGCGTACTCTCCAGCCATTTCCGAAAAGGGTTCCACGCGCAACGACGTCCCGAGTACCAGCGCCACATCAGCAGCTTCACACTCGTCAATAGCCGTGTCAATATCTCCTAGCGGTTCATCAAATCCCACCACGTTCCGTTTCAACCTGCCGTTGCCATGTCGTGTTCGTGCCCTCAGTCGCTGCGTCATTGGCCTCTTCGTGCTCACACACTTTGAATCAATGCAGAGCCCCGTCCAGGGAAACTCATGCACGTAAATCTTCTCACATGTTTCACATTTGGCTTGTGTCGCATTCCCATGCACTTCCGTCAACGCAGTTAGCGGCACGCCGCTTTTTAAATGCAAATTGTCAACATTCTGAGACACAATGTGCTTCAGAAAGCCCAATCGATGCAGTTCATGCAACGCCATGTGGGTACTGGACGGCACCAGCAGGTTGAAATCGGGTATGTCACCTCGCTCTGCTTCAAATGCAGCCTCACCATGTCCTTTCGTGCTGTGCACGTTCCTGTTCTTGCTTCTTTCAACCGTCTTTTGCCGCTTTTTCTTCCTGCCTTGATCCATGTGCTTGGTACGGATTCCGTGCTCCCCGCGGTAGTCAGGAATGCCCACGGATGTACTGATCCCAGCGCCTGTAAACGCTACTAAATGCCGAGAATTAGCGATCAAAGTTGCTAATTTTCGGCATTTTGCGTCCAAATCGTCCGTCGGCTTGGTCTCGATTTCGAATGCGACACTTTCGTCCGGACACTTGTCCACTAACGTGTGATGCGAGACGCTCGACAGGTAAAAGTCGCGTCGAGCTGAGCGCAGGAGCGACTTCATTGGCGGTGAGTGGCGCGTATGGGCGGCGGGTGCGTAGTCGCCACCGCTGCTCGAGGCGCGGCACCGCTTCGCCGAGGCGGCCATCATGGCAGACGACTCGGTCGAGTCGATGGCGTTTAAGGGACGTTAACGAATACAGTCGTTACGGTAGTTTCTAACAAAGAGGACGCTAATATAGAGTCCGAACACGGTAAGATAGAGTCCGAATATGATACTCTATCGTGTGTTATTCGAGTGTGATCTGAAAGGTGTCACAACTGGAAGACTCTTGCACGCATCCTTTGTCGTCTCATCGTCGCCTATCTGATACTAGAGGGTCACAAAATTAGCAAATGCCCTCGTCCTCAAGTACCAAGTATCTATTTGGCGTTAAGTAGGAGTCGATTGCGTGTGTGTCTCGAGCGCTTGTAGAAATTCGCTTTGTCGATGCGGAAATCAGTCACGCAAAAAAAATAATCGATGGCCGTACGGACCTGCATGAAGTTGTTCTCGTCCTGGTCGCAACGACAATCACTAATACGCAAAGTCCTGTTTTTACTCGTGATGTGTATGCTTTCGCAGAGCGGATGGTGGTGCACTACGCAGTAGGATCTAAGCTTGACTAGGATGCAGCGCTGCTTTTCGATGATACTGGGACGAGTCTCGTTGCCGCGCACATCAATGATCACAAACTTATAGCGGGATAACGGCTTCCCCGACAAGGATATTTCTAGGAGATGTACGCGGAAGACCCACATCGAAATTGGTCGACTGATCTTTTTGGTCAATGCATTTCTGTGCTGCAGCATTGTGACTGCCGACACTTTCATCATGTCATTTCACGCCTGCGTGTCATTAGGCTCGCCATTGCTACCAAGTAAAGGTTTTGGCATGAATGCCTCTTATAAGCTGAATACTTGGTAAGCTAGAAAAGTGGATGGCGTCAGTTGGTCCCACACGAGGTAGATTGCACGCAATTTGCCACTTGCCATTATCCCGTACTTACGCATATCATGGCTTTCCAATTTGTGCAGGGTACGGTCAGCGGATTCATGTTACTTCTCCATGGGCAACAGTATGAGTTGGGCTGGCGACTTCTGGTGCATGCCGATACAAAGCCTGAATCTCTCACATCTCAAACAATCGACTGGTACCATTTTGACAAATCAAGCAGAATCGACAAGTATGCACCAACCGTGGATCCCTGGTTGATGCTCTACGTAAACGTTGACTTTGTCAGCCGATATACCTTCTCTTTTAACAGTAGTCTAATGAGCCGTCCATCGCTGGCTTGAGTCATTTTCACAGACGCTTTCATTGCGTTTACCAGTACGTAACATGTACTCGGATCGAAAGAAGGGGATTCAACCTTCAAGAGTTATGATAGTTTTCCAGACGTCTATACTGCACGTCTTGCACTCTCAGTGTGTATTTTGCGTGAGTTTTTACCATACACAAGTAGCTGATACGACCTTGCACTGATGGCAAACTTATCCCGCACTGGTAGCAACCTTTCAGCAGATGCTGACACTCCTTGATTACTATGTTGTAGACCGATTGATCTTTTAGGCAGCTGCAGCTCCTGATGATCAGCAAGCTACTTTGATGTATCACAGTCCAGCAAACAAAAAGCAGGTCGCGCTTCTCGCTCTGCTAGTAAACAAGCTTCCTTCTACATCTCGAAAATGTTGAAGGAAGCTCGCTCGTTGCTTCGTCAAAAAAATTCGATGTAAAGGGCTGATTAACAAACTCACGAGCTGAGAACCGACTTGTAAGCGATACGATACGACGTCGGCATTGAGATGACGTGGTCGTTACTACAGCAAGACGAGGCGAGAAAGAACGAAAGCGAGCGAGCAAACGAAGCGCTCGAGCATATGCACAGAATGATCGCACGTCAGTTCGTAGGTGAGACCTGTACAAACGGACTCTTTTTTGTTGAGTTTTTGGGAAAATGCAGTGGCGCACTTTTGTGTGCTCCCTGCACGCGCACTCCGATGAAATACCCGCTTGAGTTGCAGACGAAAGTGGGGTCGGAACTTGATGATAACGTGGTTGATTGATCTGATTATAGCATCCATGATATTTTTGGGAGAGTGTGTAGCTTGGTCTCATCATTCGCATTGATGAGTGCACGCAATATTTCTTACGAAATGTGATGAGGACAACGCGGCAGTAGATCAACCATGATATCATAGCAACAGTGTCGGAGTTATAAAGACCGACACGATAGAAGATACCCAATATGACGATGACTTTATCGTATTGGATTTGGATGTCAACATAAATTGAAGTGACAGCGGCAAAAACAACGTGAGTTGTGGATCTATCTGTAGATCAGTCAGTACGGAATGGAGCGTGGTACCGCATCTCAAATTGGAACGAACAAATTATTTGGACAGGACTGTACGAAGTGGAAGTTGTAAACCAACTGTCACCAAGCGATGATTCCGAATGCGGACAAGATAAAATCCAAATAGTGTGAAGAGTTAATAGTGATGTTGGAGTGCTTTTGAAAGCCTCATGCTTTTGAATGTCATCCTATGCAGTTCGATCGCTGCTCTTATACCACCTTCACCAACTTCAGCGAGAATGGACATCGTACTAGCTACCATGATGAGGCAACGTACTACGCCGCCCTTTTCAAACAGCACTGATATTAACGAAAGACACTAAGCAGAACCGAGAGAGAAAGAATGACAGAGGAGGGTATCGATGCCGTAGATTTTACTTCAAAAGCTCTAATATCCACCAACTCTCCATGACCAACTGCATAAAAGAGTCCTCGACCGGTCCAGAATAGTTCGGGCGTGTCCAAAAGAGCAAGTACGCAGAAAAACTTGTTAAAAACGACAAAATATTCATCTCGCGACAGAAAACGTCTCGACCAGAAGGTTTCTCGATCATACGTAGTAAAGTCGATAAAACCCGAAGAATTAAACTCAAAGCATTTTAAGTTAAATAATATGATTACTCTGCAACCTGAAAAATAAAACGTAAAGCATAAGAAGTTAAATAATATTATCACTCTGCACCCTCCTCCTCCTCCTCATTGTTGCTATGGTGGACGCTGCTGCTACTGTGGGGCCGCCGGACCAGTACGTCACGGGAAGCCGCACCGTGCTAACTGCGCTATTACGACGCGGCGACGCTGTGCCCGACGAGGTGCAGCGCGTGCAGGAGCTCGTCGAGTGCGTGGACAACAACGCGCAGAAGATTGCGGCGGCGCTGGTGGCCAACCGTCGAGGACGCGGCGTCCGCACCACTGGAGTCGACACGACCGCGCAGCTCTTGAAAGAGCAGAAGCGATTTATAGCCCAGGTGAGTGAGCTCCATCTCTGGCGGCTGTTTGTATCGTTCCGAGCTCCACTTGAAGGACGTGCGTCCGGGCGTTGCATTGAAAAGAAGAGGAGCGGGAGAGAGAGAGAGAGAGAGAGAGAGAGAGAGAAAGAGAGAACGGGTTGTGTCTGACGTGGGCGTTCTTTTGGTTTGAATCTGGCTACTGCTACAGATCGCCGAGCTGTACGAACAGTTGAGTCGCAAGTCCGCTCCAGTCGCACCGCCAGCAAACTGAGGAACTTGTAGGTGCATGGCAATGTATGATGGCAGGAATGTACGGTCGTACGAGAACTTGTTTTGTTATTCGTTGTCGTGCTAACTGTAGTGGGCGATGACTTGGCTATTCGTGACAGAAGCGTTGGAAAGCTTTGAACAACCAGTAGCTAGCTCTTGGTAGTCATGATACAATCGCAGCATCGTCGATCGATAACGACACTGGAGACACGGAATACGACCGGTCACCGTGGCCATTGAGTAGCACTTTGTCAGCGCAATGTGCAGATGGAGTTTACGGCTCGTAGGTGGACTGTCAATTGGTGCACGAACAACCTATTAACTACAATGTGTGCTTGTTTGCACGTATTGTAGTCCTTTAGTACCAGGTACGCTCGTGCATGTTTGCTGTAAGTGCTAATCATTTTGGTACACACTAAGTGAAACTTGATGAAAACTAGAGGCATGTGATGTGTGAGCTTTGCTTCTGTACGTTCCTGTATTGACGGTAGAAAAGATCTGCTTGGGATGATCTTCTATACACACGGCGTCTCGTTGACGGTGGTTACGCTGCCAAGTCAGCACGCCACGCGACAGTCAAGAGTCGAGCAATGACGAGTAAAGGCGACTAAATACGGCCGCACACCGTCGTCACGTGGACTTGCGTCGAGTAAACTGGTGCACAGCGCTGGGTTTTGTTCCACCTATGACAGCTGCAACAATGAGGCGGCTGCATGTTGCCATCCGATGGATTCGAGGTAATCATGCAGAACATTGACATGGCAAATTGCGTGAATGGAACTTAGCGAGTGTCTTGACTTCGCACGTTTCGACGTTGTTATTGTACAGCATCAGTACCGCCAGTCATGCTGGTAATTTCGGATGGCATTGCACAACTGCTAAATGGCTGAAACAGTGAAAGGAAGTAGACGGACTCGCAATGTCGGATCGATGGGCTAGACCTGTGGACCTCATCGGTCAATTTTACGATGCGCAGCTGCAACAAGTAGAAGTTTCTGTAGTAGGAGACGCTAGTCAAGAAGCGCAGATTCTGCGATAAATAGGCCGTCGCGTCCAGTTCAGCTGTGAAATTGTGCCTAGTATGGTCTGCTGTTTCTCGCTTTACGTGGTGGGTATGGACGTGGTAGGCCGCCGTCGCCAAAGCGGTGACAGTTGCTCGAGACGAGGCTGCGATGCAACAGGAAATTAACAGCACTATTACAATAAAAACTTTCCGTGGAATTCACGTAATGTATACTTTACCCTTAGCCACTCGTACGATTCAGTAGCGCAAGCAAAAAATTCGTGGCACTGACTTCGCCGAAGGTTTAATCAATTTGCATTCAGTCAGTAAACCCCAAAAGTCCTGTTGGCCTTTTTCGATACTATTATCAAGACGGCTGTCAAGCCGACCGCACCTTTTTTTTTTTAGCAAAAATGATTGATTCAGTCGTTTTCGGTTAGATTCACTTCCTTTTTTCTCGGACATTCAATTCAAAGTGAGACATTTACGTTAGGCAGAACCGACTGCACCATTGATTTAATTCGGGATCTAAAACAGAGAATAATAAAGAGTGGTTAAACATTCTGAACGTTCTAAATTAGCATATCATAAAACAACTCCAGGTTGCATTTTTTGTTCCACGTAGTGTAGCCACGAGATAGAGCGCACGACGGACGAACACATGAATAATGAATGCGTACCCAGTGTGCAGATGCAACAGAGCGTCAAGACAGATGGTTGTACACGCAGATTAAGCTCGTGGCAACCTCAACAACTTCAAGTTTTATCATGTTGTTGCTAGGGGAAAGCACACTCTAAACGCCACCACAGCAGCAGCTGTGAGTTAACGCAGCTGCACAAAAGCCGTGACGTCTAGCCGTCGTGCGTCTTTATATCCAGACGGTTGACACATGTCAAGTACCCCACACATGTAATCTCTTGGTGCTGAGAGGTGGGCGCCTACGCATTCGTCTGCTTACCCACATATTTCTCAACGTGGCAAGTTGTTATAAACGTCGGGATTCCAAACAAAGCAACGTACTAACGTTGCAACGTCAGTAACGACGGTGCAATATAACGCGAGCGCGCTGGACAATCATTGGAAGCGGCTTGTGCCTTTGTAGAGGATAGAAGGGCCGAGAGTGACAAATGACATGATGAGCCACGTTTTACGTAAAGGGCGTATCCTGACCTCACGTCGACAAAAAGAGCATATCCGGGTTCATTTTGCGGCCTTGATCACCGTTATGATATGTAAGCTGGTCGAATCGCGTGAAGTTCAACATTGGTTTCGAGCTTCTCGTCCACGTAAACGTACCACGACCTTTCTACTCGAATCATATCATCACCCACCCATCACATTAACATGCGCATTGGCCAAGAAGATCCACTCTCCATAGCAATGACTACATAGCACTCCTGCGAAACGATCTTATTCAGTCCCTGACTCACATCGACGTCATATCCACCCAACAGCTCCAACACGACCAGCCGGCCACTCTCTCATTATCGAATTTGCTTCAAGCTGCGCACATGCGTCCAGTCTCTCCCCGTCGCTCGATGAGTCCGCAATCAACGGTGACCAGTCCCACTGACGTTGACGAACTTGATATGTACCCACCCCTTCAGCACCAGACCAAGACCGCACACGTGCAGAGCATGGCGCACTACGAGTCCATGTACAAGCGTTCGCTCGAGGACCCAGAGCATTTCTGGGGCGAGCTCGCCCGCGAGAACTTGGACTGGCTCCGAGGCTTTGACCAGACTGTCACCGGCAGTATGGAAAAGGGGGACGTGGCCTGGTTTCTCAACGGTCAGACGAACGTCAGTGTCAACTGCATCGACCGTCACGTCCGGAAACACGCGGACAAGGTGGCAATTATCTGGGAAGCTGACGAGGTCGGTCAGGGCCGCAAGATTACGTATGCAGAGCTGCTGGAAGAGACGTGTCGAGTAGCGAATGCTATGAAGCACGCAGGGGTCAAGAAGGGCGACACGGTGGCTATTTACATGCCAATGATCCCTGAAATCGCCTTTGTCATGCTGGCCTGCACGCGCATTGGAGCTGTGCACAGTGTCGTTTTTGCAGGGTTTTCGGCTGAAGCTCTGCGGGACCGCCTCATTGATGCTTCGACCCAATGGGTCTTTACTTCTGACGAAGGCAAGCGTGGCGGCCGCACGCTGCCACTGAAGCAGATTGTTGATGTTGCAGTAGACGGTCTGGAGTTTGTGCGCAACGTGTTTGTCTTCAGGCGCACGCGGAATCCGGAAGTAAAGATGAACACAAAGATTGACATTGACATGGAGAAGGAGATGCAGCGACACCGTCCGTACTGTCCTGCCGAGTGCATGGACTCGGAGGACCTGATGTTTATCCTGTACACATCGGGATCAACTGGTTCTCCCAAGGGAATCGCTCACACGACAGCAGGGTATTTGCTGTATGCGATGATTACTTGCAAATATACCTTCGACTTGCAGCCGGACGATGTACACGCGTGTGTCGCTGATGCGGGTTGGATCACCGGCCACAGCTATATCATCTACGGACCACTTGCCAATGGCGTGACGACTGTGATGTTCGAGAGTACGCCGATGTACCCCGACTGCGGTCGTTACTGGGACCTCATTCAGCGTCACAAGGTGACCAAGTTTTACACTGCTCCGACGGCCATCCGTGCGTTAATGGCTCGCGGCAATGATAAAATTGCCAACTACGATCTGTCTAGCTTGAAAGTCCTGGGCAGTGTTGGCGAGCCAATCAACCCAGAGGCATGGAAATGGTACTACGAAGTTGTTGGTAACCGCCAATGCTACATCACCGACACGTACTGGCAAACGGAGACTGGAGGACACATTGGTGTGGGCCTCCCAGGCGCCACTCCTATGAAACCAGGCTCGTGCTCGAAGCCGTTCTTCGGTATTGATTTCGTGATTACTGATGAGCATGGCAACGAGATAAAGGGCAACAACGTCGAGGGCCAGCTTTGCATCCGTAAACCCTGGCCGGGCTTAGCTCGTACTGTGTATGGCAACCATCACCGCTACTTGCAGGTATACATGTCAACACACAAGGGACTGTACTTTACTGGCGATGGTTGTCGTCGCGACAAGGACGGCTATTACTTTATCACGGGCCGTATCGACGATGTGCTGTGCACGTCCGGTCACCGTATTGGCACGGCAGAAATCGAAAGTACGCTGGCAGCACACAATGTTGTCGCAGAGGCAGCTGTAATTGGGATCCCGCACGGTATCAAGGGCGAGGGTATCTGCTGCTTTGTGACGCTAGTGGACAGTATGAAGCCGTCAAAGGACGTGGAGAACGAGTTGGTGCAGCAAGTCCGTGCGCACATCGGTGCTTTTGCGGCTCCTGATCTGATCGTCCTGGTGTCTGGCCTGCCAAAGACGCGGAGTGGCAAGATCATGCGCCGCGTGCTGCGCAAGATTGCACATGGTGAGGAGGACTCGTTAGGCGATGTATCGACGCTGGCTGATCCGTCGGTCGTGCCGATGTTGATTACGAACACAAAAGCAGCGCTCGTGGGAAAGTCGTTTTGATGCACCTCCGCTGCAGTCAACGAACCCTGCTTGTCTGTGTGTTTGTGTAGCTCTCGCACAGGCACCACTCGCAATGAGTTACATCACGAATGGTTCGCTGATCGTGTATTGTTTCCCACCTGCTTCAACTGCTGATGCCAAAGTGCAGTATCGCAATCAACACTTGGCTTGACCTCATCCAGACCGTCGCTCTACAAGTCTTGCCTTGTATAACGCCCACTAGTACCCGACTAACATTACCGGCTCACGCGAGTGCCACGACTGTTTGGTTCTTGCAGTAAGCGCTCTTCGGAACGCGAGTTTGAGAAGATGCATAATGGTGATGGCATGGTAATGAGATTCATTCTTCTCCCCTCATGCATCGAGTTCACAAACCTCATCACACGGTTTTTCTAGCAACTATCCCGGCTCCACCTGCACAGAATTTGGTGACTTCGACAGCGATCACATCACATGCAAGGTAACAATAGCTCTTTTCGTGTGGCATTGTTTAGCATGAATACTTGGTCGTCATTTTCTTCGCACCGCCAATTTATGCTTCATCTATGAGCTAACACTGACAAGTCATTATTAGTTTAGCTTTGTGGTATCTCGACGCTCTCTCTGTGAAGTAGAAGCTCCCCGTTTTATTATATCGGAAAATGTTGTTCATAGTGTTTCAACTCACCATTGCCTCGGCACAGTTTGGTATTACAGCACAATTGCATGCAACTTCTCATAGTAACTAAAACGCGCTCTGTATGTTTGTGCTGTTGCAGCTTGTGAGGATCTATGTAGTGGTGCTTAACGCACTTCCTTCAATGCTTATCAAATGACGCAAACTTCGCTCACTTGGACGTTCCCGACAATTCTCTCATTGAACTTTATTTGGTATCGACACCTTCCCTATCCTTTTATCGACCACCTCACCGTCAATATCTGCGTCGCACGAAGCATGCTACAACGTATTGGATGAAGTGTATTGATAGAATTGCAAGAGCTTAGCACTAGCCACCGATGATAAATTATCACGTCCATCACGATTTCCTGAACAGTTTGCAGTACTGGTGAAGTCCCACCGACCATATGTGATCTACAGGACCTTCCACATGACTTCCTGCCATCTTGCAAACCATCGTACGTCATCTCAATAAGCTTAAGCAGACGAAGACACGACGAAGTGATTGGTCTCGTCAAACCCGCTTCATCCGCTCAGCTTTTTGTAATGATGGCATTTCCTTCAGATACTGACAGCAGAGACTAACGCACGCAACTAACTGCCTGCAACCAGTTTTTCAGTCTTACTTTAGCATTTACCAACAACATGCACAATCGTTGACATCGTTCTTCTCGAGACAATGGCGTCTACTCTTTAGCTCCAAAATATCATGCATTAGACAACGATGTCAACAACACAAGATCTACCTCGCGGCGCGCCCATGAGGACACGGCAGTAAAATGACATTCGATTACTGAACCACTTCCGCTATGCACTTGCAAGTTATACATGCGGTAGGCTTACGATCCAGCGATCCTCCTGCCAGATTTCATGACTGCCGCAGCAAGATCATGCGTGCACTAGTTCCAGTAGCGCTTTTGAGCAACTCAATAGCTTTCTTCGACATGAATAACCGCAGACGATGCCGCCGAGCAGCAAAAATAGAGCTTCAACATGCAGTCCCCTTTGCATGACCTTTGCGATGTGCAAATCATAGACTACGATCCAATGGACTAGATTCATACCTACGTGATAGGACGCCACGCCTTTCAATACAGCTCAGATGGAGTTGGTCGATGCACATTTCACAGTAAACTACTTTACAAGCGGTTACAATACCCAGTATGAAAATGATCGTGGTCCCATAGCTTGTACTTGGCAATCAGTGGCTGTGAAGTAGTATAAGCTGATTAATAAAGCTACATTGATCAGTGACGACTATATGGATTGCTATAAGGGCAGGCGGCCGCTCAGAGTGTGGTTTATCGTGCAGGTTCGGCGAACCGGCACAATTTCTATGAAACAAGGGTATCTTTCGTTACTTCAGTTGCAGTGTCGCCATTATTGCCCTAAACCTGAATATACACAGTAGACAGACGGATCATTAGCGAGATGGATGATGCCAATAAAAGTCACGATAGTCCATTGTTCAAGCACAATATTTCCGCAAAAGAGCCACAAGCTCAGTGAAACGTCATAATTGGACGCGCTATGGCAAATGGCAATCGACGGCAGCAGACCCACGCTCTGGGTCCAATCCCGCTCAGTGCCGGCGAGATCGAGCTGTACGCGCGTCAAGATGAGATGACGCGTCGCCGCCGTCGTCTCTTGGCAATGCGAGAGGAGGAGCGACGTTTAGCCCAGCAAGTGACGCAGCGCTATCGCAATAATCTGAAAAAACTGCAGCACTGGAAAAGTCTTGAGTTGCAAAAGGAGGTGGAATCCGAGCCACAAAAGATCGAACATGGCAATCAGGTGGAGAAATGTTGTGGCAGACGGAAAGAGTGGACAATTTATGATGCGCAAAGAGTTTTGAAAGACGACTTGGCCGTGCAAAGTGCGAGACGGCGGCGCATGAAGCAGAATGATGCGAAAGGAAAGACTGTGAGTAGATTGCAGACAAGACAAGCTAGTTCTCGAGATCAGGCGAAGCAGGAACTCGCTCAAGTACGAGCGGGGAGTGATGCGGATGATACTCGATCCGTCACTTTGGCTGATTCCAAAAACAAGCGCTCGAATGGTGATATGATTGTAGATGGTGAGTCAAGAGGCAGCGGTAAGCTTGAAGCTCCTGAGCACAGCATTTCTATTGACATGAATGGCGAGATAAAGTCTGGTGTTTTGGCCACAAATGGTGGACATGATGAACGATCGAGCCCCGCATGTGAACGGGACTTGATTACGACTACATTGGGAGGCTTGCGATGTGAAGAAACTGGGAAACGTGTGACGTCGATGGACAGACGCGACATAGGTGCACTAGAAGATTTCATCGTACCTTTAGAACCGCTTGATGGGTACCGAAACAGCGAGTTGAAGAACAAGGCTGACATCTTGAAGACAAAAGTGAGTAGGGGCTGCAGTGAGCACGGTTGTAACGGGTTGATTAAGACACAACAGCTGCAGAGGTATGAACTTGTAAGAGATCATCAAAACTTAGCACCTCGCACGAAACAGCGCCGATGCTGCTCCATGTCTAAAGAATATGGAAGGCTCGAAGGTAAAGAAAGCGAGAACAGATTGGGCAGGCTTGTGGAGACCGAATGTTTAGAAAAAGAGGCTGCAGAGTGCTACGGCATTACGTCTTTCGTTGCTCCCTCCAGGGATCACAAGAAAATGCTACCGTTGAATACAGGGCAATCGGGAAAGCACAAGAACGTTCGTGATCGACCGTTCCTGGAGATGCCTGATGCGCAATGGAATGAGCTCGTGACTAGAAGTGATCGGCATTCGTCTGGCATCGAAACGTACCGAAATAATATCGACAAGGCAAGACAGCGACCTGAACATTTACCCACGTCAAGGTTAGCCGCGACCCACTCTACATCCCATGATCCGAGTGTCTCACTGCAGCATTTAGCAAGGGGCGAAGGAGACGAAAAAGCGCTTCGATGCAGAACAGAGCACAGTAGAGCTTGCTCGTCCATGCATTCTGCTGAAAACAAAAGTACGGCTTCAACGAACGATTCCTACAAAGAAGCTGACCGTGCATCTGCTGCTGAGCATGACAAAAAATGTCGGTCAGCTATCTCTAAATCGAGAAATTCGCATGGAAAGAAAGTTTGCGACAAGGGTGCCGATTTTGATGAAAAAAGCTTTGATGCAGAAGGGCAGTTGTCATTGTCTGCATTATCTGGTTCTGTCAGCCAGAAATCTTTATCGCGACTCGATGAAATGGTCAATGACAGGGCGAGGTACTCGAATCATCTGGCTATGGATGTGGAGTGGAAGCTGTTATCATCCGTTTCGTCTGGTACTGTCAGCCAGATATCGTTGTCGCGACTATCCGAAGTGGCAAATGGAAGGGCAAGGACGCTGGGTCATCGCTTTGCAGATCCAAACATGACGATCTTCTCGGAGTCTGAGGACCTTAGTACGAATGAGGGAAACTCTGAGACTGAATCGTGTTATCCTCCTCTCGATAGCGACAGTGGGCACTCTTTTGTGGCTCTCTATCCTTCCCACCCGCATCACCGAGACATGTATCGAGAAGCACGGAGACATAGTACTTCAGCTGCGTCTGTCACCCAGTACTCGTTACCACTTTCAGATGCACAAAGCTCATTTGATGAAAGCTTAGATCAAGTGCACCCTGGTCATCCCACTGATGATAGCTTCGTAAATGAACTGGTCCCGTTCCTTCCTACGTTCGTGTCGCCATCAGTTTCGCACTCATCCGACGAGGGTAACGAAGTGTCAGAGGAGCTTTCAGATCAGCTGATTGAAGCACAAAATAGCGGAAGATCAACAGCTGAGCAGCTTGCGTCCTCGGGACGAAAAAGTAGACAACGTCCAAGCTACCAGGACCATCAGGCTGCTGCAACTGAATATTCACGTTGTCAAGCATTTGCGAGTGGGATTCGGAAAACAACTGGTGAACATGCATCGACTCGTGTTGATGAGAGGGATTTTGTGCTATCCAGTGGATGGAATTCCTCGACTTCTTCCGTCTGCGGACAAGACGCCGAGAGTTTGAATGCGTCAGCTGGTCCGCCATGCGTACGACGGCACACAGAGACTGGACCGATCGAACGAAGTGAGACTGTTGAGGCTGATATTCGTCCACTACCTGTGAATCGGCAATCTCGACGGTATGAACGCGATGTTATGTCCGACGTTTCCGTCGAGTCAAATGTGTCTAGCCTTGCTGTCCAATTAGAGGCCGCAGCTGTCACTACTCGGTGGAACACCAGGGACGATGGACAAGGAGACATTGACCGTGAATACACTGAACAGGATGGTCATCAATACCAACAGGTCGAGGACTCACTTTTTGACCAAATGGTGGATGCGCAAAGCGTTACTTCTGACCAAAGTTATGCATCGAGTTGAAGCTCGTCAATACGCTCTCGCCCCGGCTGCCTCGTTAACGCCAACTCTGCTGTGGATAAATGGTCGGCGCCGCATCTTCGATTGCCTGCAACGAGATGCGGCAAGGAAGACATTTCGACGCCAACTGCACGAACGACCTGGTCGACCTCGCCAGTGTCCTCGATTGCGACTGCGGCGAGATAGATCATCATAAATGCTTGGGAAGCGATTGGAGGGCCGATGAAAAGAGCAGTCTGTGCTCAGACTTGCAAATGATGGATTCTATATCTGACAAGGGGTGTGTTGACCCACCTCACGCTGACACATTTGATCACAAAGCTTATGACCAGGACATGTAGCACGCATTTCCTGTCCATTACCGGAGTGATGAATGTGGTGCAAGCAGCATGCATGAGCGACAGAGAATACCGACAGCTGAACAAGTGGCACGATTGACTTTTGCCGAGGTCGAGAAAAAGATCACCCAGCGACCACTTTGCTTACGCAGCATCGCTTAGCCGCTAGCACATCGACGGGGTCTCGCATCGATCGTCAGAGACCACATCCCGACGACATTCGACACCTTGAACCGCATCAGGTCCTGCCACGTTCACTAACGTTTACTACTCCAAATCGTCGTCGGATATTCATTTACGAACTCCGTTAAAATGAGCAGGACGCCATTCTATCAGTGCGAGAAAAGAGAGAAAAGTCATACGGTGGTCCGAAGCACTTGTGTGTCACGTAACTACTCGCGGGGTCGTGGATGCTCCACCCGTTGTCTATTCAGTGGCTACCACCGTCTTCTGAAGGAGTTTTCATGCGGTTTTCCCCATCGCTCAGGTCTGGAATGGTCTAGATCAAGTACCAGTTCGTTAATCACCGAGTGAGGATGATACCATCGTGGAGAATATACCGCATTAAGAGCTCACCAGATCTGGCTTGAGAATTGCATGCATGGCGCTCGATCCCGCAAAGAGGGACCCCAGAGTGGCGCTACAAAGGGTCAGATATTGCTTGGCTGTTACTTTCGGCATCGCGATTTCAGGCAAAGCTGGACGCGTTGGGGTCGACGATCCGACTGCTGATTGGTGGAAAAGCGCCACCACGAACAACTGCGCTACGTGGGACTCGAATGAGCAGAACCTTTGGGCCGAAAATGATTACGTCGACGCTACGTCGGGCCTTCACAACGGCGACGTCCACGGCGCAGAAGAAGCACCACAAGAAGAAAAACCACTTTGCTACTGCAGGACTTCCGCTTGTTCTCTTTATCGTCGGCGGATACGTGGCCCTGACACAGGTTCAGTGGATAGAATGCTCAGTAGGAGTGGTCTTTTTGGCATCGCAAACCCTGCTGATCTTTTGTCGGTTTTGTTTTGTTGTGCTGGACCGTCTAGTTTGTCAGTGGCAAGTACGAGGCGCGAGATCACGTGGTCAAAAGTCAGTCGGAGCACATTTTCAACCTGGAGGAAGAGCACAAGGTGCGTCTCTCTCGTTGCGGTGGTTGATGTACTAGTGGTACTTGCTCGTGTGTTCTCTACGGAGGTGACGACGGACCCGGCAGAACATACGGAGTTTAGCCATGTCAACTCTTTGCCAAGAGCCAGAGGTTGGACCGATGCTTTCAGTCTGCATTGATACTGAACTCCTACTGCGGTATTGTGTGCGTCTCGATCTCGTTGCGACTGCAGAAAATGACGGCAAAGTTGACTCTCGACGACTTTGAGCTCAAACCCGTGCCTGACCCAAGTCCTCCAACCAACTAGCGCGGCGCTCCGACCTGTCAGACCGCATGCGCCTCTTTTCACTTGCCTTTTAAACACGATACACCACCGCAAGCATTAATCACCACTCCCTCGTGTTACTTCTGCCACATAGCCGTTACTTTCCAACGTCGCGACTTGCCACACCCATCAAGCGTCGAACCATGACGGCGCCCCAGTCGCACGTCGCCACGCCTGTTTCCAGCCGTTTCGCGCCCCGCAGCAGCTGGCCGCTCCTCGTCATCTTCTTCTCTGGTGTCTTGGCTACATGCGTCGTCTTCCTCGTCAGCGATTGGCAGCCTGTGGACCGCAGGAACATTGGCAACGTCCCGTCGTCCGAGTTCTTGGCGTATGGACCAATCGACGTCGTGTATACGTGGGTCAACGGCACGGACCCGCGCTGGAAGAAAGAGAAGGAGTTCTGGCACAAGCACTGGATCGCGTCCTTAACGGGTCAACCGCTGCCCGTGTGGGGACAAGACGCGGACGTGAAGGGGCACGACGATTCGAACGCGGACAATCGATTCCGAGACAATGAAGAGCTCCGGTACTCGCTGCGGTCACTGGAGAAGTACGCGCCGTGGGTGCGCCACATTTACGTGGTCACTGACGGCCAAATCCCGTCGTGGCTAGACATTGAGTCGCCTCAAATCAGCATTGTCAAGCACGGTGACATCTTTATGGATCCAAGTCATTTGCCGGTGTTTTCGTCGCCCGCTATTGAGTGGAACTTGGACAATATTCCAGGCTTGAGTGACATGTTTCTCTACTTCAACGACGACGTGTTTCTGGGCGCACCAGTACGCCCGGAAGACTTTGTGAGCCAAGCAGGCGTGCAAAAAGCGTACTTTGCTTGGGAGATTCCACTCTGTGCTACAAGGTGTGAGGAGTCGAGACTGGCCAATGGGAGGTGTGATGCGAGTTGTAATGTGACGGCGTGTGATTTCGATATGGGTGACTGTGGATGTGATGTGAACCCGCTTGATGGGGCGGTGACGTGTGACGCTGAGAAGATTGCGAAAATACTTGAAGACTCGCCAAAACCTTCAAAGATGAGCGAGTATTTGTGCCAAGGAGCGTGTAATTACCAATGGCTGGGGAACGGTGTGTGCAACCAGCCTTGCAATGTCAGTTCGTGCGCGTTCGATGGAGGGGATTGTAAAGTGCAGAACGAGGATCATGGTCACCAGTCACAAGCTCATGGTGGCGTGGAGGAAGATGAGGAAAGATTGTCGCCGCTTGTAAAGGAACTTTGGTCAGCGGATATTTCAACAAGCCACACGCTTGTACATGTGCCATTGGATGTCAATTCTACGTACTTAAACTTTACGGATGCATTTGGCGTGAATGGAAGTATCTGGAGTGCTGCTCATGATAATGAAAAACTCATTCGTTTCGCGTCAGTATACGAGACGGAAATGGTCTTGCTGCTGGTGTTTGGCCGTGACAGCGAGGCCCACCCGATGACAAGTAGTGTTCAGATATCAGTTGTTGGTGAGGACGCAGAGGAAAACCTTGTCGAGTTGAAGTTCTTAATTGTGCGAGGAGAACAACGCATTGAGCCGTCTTTTGGTCCTGCGCAAGTGGGGCTGGCTACTCTTGACATTTCTGGAGGCATGTTTACCTATCAGAATACAAGCATCCGGCCGAACACCGTTCGGCTGCCTTTCGAGTTTCGGCAAGCTACCTTTTGCACTGCGGTCCAGTCTCCCGGTGACGATGTGGAGCATACCATGACGACAGAGACAGTCGAGAGCAAGGATGCTGCTGTTGTTGACGGAGGGTTGTTCGGCGATGCGCCACAAGTCGAGATTTTTCTGCCGCTCAATGTGACAGGAAAGGAACTGAGAAACGGAGATATTCTCAGCCTCGGATGGCATACATACGTACGCCTGCACAATGACGAAGAAGATATACATTGGCGCGATGAAGACGTTTGTCAGCTCTGGATTCCGACGATGGAGAATCCGACAGACGTACCGGGTGCGTCTGATAACGTAGTTGGTGATGGAACTGAAAAGGTGGATGTGATCGTAGATAGCAGCCGAGCCTCTTCATCTGATGGAACGAAAATGCAGTCTGACACTACTTGTTCTTCCGACGATGACACTGGAGAGTCACAGGATGAAAAGACTTGCAAGCAACGTAATGCAATCTTGGATAGTGCAAATGGGGACGCTGAAGCTGCATTCTATGACGCAGACAGCGAAATAGCAAAATGTCGTCTTGCCAGTGATAACAAGGGTATTATCGTCACGGTGCGCATGCTGCCACCTCATGCGCACTCTTTGCTTCTGGCGACCAGTAAGGTTGATGAGGAAAACGAGGAGGACGAGGAGGCAGATGAAGAAGAGGAGGCCGATGCAGATGATACGTATCAAGGCATGGAAGATAGTAGCATGTGCTCGGTCATGGACAATGCTGCCAGAACTTGTAGCGAAACGGACGTTGCGATGGAAGAGGGCGGGAAGGTTGACCTGCTGGTGACTGATGGACATATCTGCTTCTTTGACACGAACGACGCTGATCCGTCACGCTACCGCTATTGTTTTGCATTGGCGATGGGGCACTTCTACTCCGAACAAGTGGAAATAGTGCACAAACCAACGCTTTGGGCTCTGCTGCATCCGCCCAAGCCAAAAGTGGTTTACACACCTTACATGGGAGATGATCCAGCGCTATTGGAGCTGTTCGACCAGTGTATTGACAGTACCACACGGTCCATTGGGGTTCGGCCGCCAATTTGCTACCCGAATGAAGAGCCTGTCCTGCACCCGTCCGACAAGGAGGCTAGCGAGGTGGACGTGCAGAATCAACTAGACAAGGAAGCAGACGGCCGTCAACTTGCGTGTGAGGCTCAGAGACGAAGACTGGCACAGCACAAGGAGCATGACCAGGATGGCCGTGAAGCTCGTGCTAAAGATGGGATTCTCGGTACATTGGCTTCCTTTTATGAGGACATCAAGCTTGCCCTTGGTATTGGACATGTGGTGCCTACCACTGACAGTCTGACTGAAGTTGAGTACGCAGACGTTTGTGGACCATTATCTGTACCAGCAAGCGAGGACAAGCACGAGGTGACGCTAGAGAATGCACAAGCGCACCTGTCGAAGGACACGTTTGGCGATTCACTACGTTTTGTGAACAAACTGTATAATCGCGTGTTTGGCAAGCCCACGACGTCTGATCGACGCCGTGTACCATCACACATGCCGTTCTTGCTGCAGAAGTCGATGATTCGCGAAATCAAGGACTACTGGACGAAGGAGGTGAACGATACGTCGGCGCACCGTTTCCGACACCCGCAGGATATGCAGTTCAGCTTTTCGTACTTTCACTACTTGATCAATCGTGCCAAGATCCATCCACATACGCTGGAAGAGGTCTGGCACGAATATATCGACGCAAACCGGAACGGGATCCTGGACGAGGACGAGGTGTTGACTGCTGCTAGTCTGGCACACGGAGATGCACCTTCCGAAGCCTTTGTGGCGGACGTGCGCAAGTGTGTGCAACCAGAAAAGCGCGAGAAGGCGCGTGAGACGTTGACAGCCGAGGGAACGCTTCGACTTACTGAGACGTTGACTCCGCATATCACGTTGGAAAACCTTGAGCGATGTCCTGAGGTACGCGATGCTTTGATCAAGAATGTGCGCTACGAATCGATGGTGGAGCTGATGCCAGAGACCGAAGTGACATTCCACATGCTGAGTGACAACTACAAGTTTGCGTGGAAGCAAATGATGGGCACACGTGCTCGTCGTACCAAGTTCGTGTGCATTAATGACGACATGAAGAATCCGTCGACAGCAGTGAGTCAGATCCTGCACGAACTCTTTCTGTCCATTTGGCCCAAACGTTCGCAGTTTGAGCTGCCGTATCACCTCAAGAATCGCTATGCGCACATTGACGAATACCATGCCGCACAGGCGCGTCGTCAAGTAGCTGCTTGGATTGCAGTGACGATCCTGCTGCTCCTCGCGTTCGTCTGTCGCAACGTACTCCGTGCGATGTTTGGCTTCCAGGACATTGCTCGGGCGCGAGCTGCGTCTGCTTCACAACTCGCTCAGGAGTTCCAGCAAGAGGTCGAAGGGCGTGACGAGCCATCGAAGAACCGCGAACTCGATGCCACCACTACCTCTTCATAGACCCGCCCTAGCCCAGTCAACCTCTGCCATCAGCCTAGAGAGAAAGCAGCCGTAGCCCAGCCCATTAAACCAATACGAGGCAACACCAATACATCCGAGCGCCGTCCACTTGGCGCGTTTGTTTGTTAGTTTACGCGTAATAAATGTAAAAGCAAAAGAGAAAAAGCACCCGCCCCGCTCGCTTCAGCCTCTCCACCTCGTCGACTAGAGCCCGGCCTTCGCTCCTGCAGCACCACCCGAAACCTCGTGGCCGTGCTTGTCCATCCAAAAGCAGCACACTAGTACACGTCCGGAGGCTGACGGTGGCCAATCACGGCACTCGTGCTCGTCTGCAAATGGACTCGAAGCGTATAGTTCGCCTGCTCGAGACGCCGCATGTGCTCCGCAGCCTGCGTGGCCAATTGTTTCAGCACGTGGTTCTCCTGCAGGACCTCGTCCTTTTGCTGGTTCTGGATGGCCACAGCCCGTTTCAGCAGCTTGTTCTCTGCTTGGATCCGAGCCACGTCTTGGGCCTGCAGCGCAACCCGCTCCTGTGTCTGCTGCAGCTCGTGGCCCAGGCGCTGGAGGTCCGCGTCTTTGGCCATCCTCAGGTGCTCGCACTCGGCTCGGACGCGAGCGAGTTCCGCTTGTTTGACTTGCTCAAAGTATTCCACATGGCGCTGACTGTACTTGGCGACATCCGATTCGTCGATGGCATCATTTTGACCAATGGCATCGCTCCCTCGTCGCTGGCGTTTTTTTTCGCGAGAGGTCGAGCGAGTCGCCGAGACGCGAGCGCTTGAGACTGGGGGGAAACACTGGTAACATATAGAGATGGACAGAGAGACGGGGGTTAGAAGCGGGGGGGGGAAGACGGAGAAGGAGGGGGGGAACAGCGACGACGATCGCGTACCTGGAGACGCCGCAATCGAAGCCATTGCGGTAAAAAACGGTATTCTTTCCCGGGGGGAGCGGGTTTTTTACGATAATTTGTGTGCTCGTTTTGTTGTCGACGGACGGGCGGACGGACTATTTTTGGGGTACGGGGGACTAGTTTGTTGTCAAGTGCAATGTGCACCGAGTGTTTTTCAGCGCTTCTATTCTGCTTTTACACTGTTTCGTGTGCGTTTTTTGCAAAACAAAGAAATCAAGAAAGCGCTTTAAAATGGATGAACCACGTTTCGACGTGTCGAGAAGAAGAAGAAGAAGATGAAAAAACGCGTTTTAACATCGACACGAGTGACGCAATTGTCGAAACGCGTTTCAACCGGCAACTCGTCGGTCCGTCCATTTTTGTTTTGAATGATGCGAACGAGCGAGCTGCTTGGCTCGACGTTGCTCTTTGACGATATCCGATACGACTGACCAGAGCGTTCGGACGCGCGGATGTTGCATCCAAAAAAAAAGCAGTTGCTATAACCGTCTGCTATTGACCTCCTTCATCACCTGCTATTGACCTCCTTCATCACCTGCTATTGACCACTTTCATTAACACAGCTGACCTGACAACTCACGGCGAGTCGGTACGGATCCATCGACGCAAAGGTTCGATACGGCATCGACAATCGCCACCTCTAGTGCAGTATTCTCCATCCACTCAAACTCGGTGCAGATCTCCGTCGCTTTTTAGGCCGTTCGTGCTCGTCACGACATCATAAACAACAGCACAAGGGCTAGACCCTCGTCTCCTTCTTCTTCTTCTACTTCTTCTATTCATGCACCTGTTGAACGGTAAACCTCGTCGCTTTCCCGATGCAACCGCATCGAGTCAACAGTTACGTGATGCAAACAGTGCAGATAGCCAAGCCACATGAACGCCCCTTCGCGGCTCCTTCCGTGAGAAAAACGTGCGCGCACACCCACCCTCGCGACCCGATTGGCCACGCCAAATCCGCCTTGTTATCACGTGGAGGGGATGGGATGGGGTGGGGATATCGCTGGCTCGATTTGCTCTCCGCACACTTGTCGATTATGGGGCTCGAGACCGTTGCGTCGCCTCTGGCCGAGCGGTTGCCCCGATTCGGTCTCGACAACGTGCACCTGGAGGTGGTCGAGGCCTCAACGACGTCGCACCCGGCACCTGAGCTCGACCCCTTGGACAAGTGCAAAGGGGGGACGTCCCTAATTTCGCTCCCGAATTCCACGGATGTGGCGGCGAAACCCCGTGGCTCGGACGAAAAGAATCGCGATACTACGGGACTTTCGAAAGCCGAGCGATTCGTGGGTTGGGTCCAGCACCTTCGTCGGACCTTTGGCACGTCGTTTCTGATCATGATCAACATCGTGTATATCGCTCAGGGGTTTTCCAGCTTTACCGTGTTGGCGATCAACTTTTTCTTCAAGGAGAACTTGCGTCTGGAGCCGACGCAGTCGCAGCTGCTGCAAATGTTAATGAAAGTGCCGTGGCGTGTAAAGCCGATCTATGGTATTCTATCGGATAGCTTACCACTGTGCGGCTATCACCGCAAGTCCTACATGGTGCTCTGCAGTATCTTGGGTATCGCTGCAGCACTTGCTTTGGCCCACCCAGACGTGGTCACGACGCCAACGGTGGCTGTGCTAGTGCTCATGCTGCAAAGCTTGTCGTCTGCCGTGATTGATGTGGTGGTTGATGCACGGGTTGTGGAATTCTCGAGACGAGACCCGAAGAATGGGGCCAATGATTTACAGTCACTGTCGTGGATATCAGGGTCACTGGGTGGTATGCTTGGAGCCTTCTTGTCGGGTCCTGCCACGGACAAACTAGGCGCTCGTGGTGTTTTTGGCGTGTCGGCTCTGGGTCCGCTTACGACGTTGCTGTTTTCCATCTACATGGAGGAATCGAAGAGTACGCTGAGCAAGCGCCAGTTTGTCTCTTCGGCCACAAAGCAGCTACGACAGCTCAGGGTTGCCATTTGTACCCCTGTGATTTGGAAGTGTGCGTTGTGGGTGTTCATTTCCCATGCACTCAGTCCAGCGTACACGCAGGTACTTTTCTACTTCTCAACGGACGTGCTGCAGTTTACTCCCGAGTTCATGGGCACGGTGTCGGCCATTGGCTTTATCTTCTTGATGGTTGCAACGATATTGTACAATTCGTTCTTCACGAATGTGTCCTTCCGCCGCATCTTCCTCGTCTCTCAGCTATGTTTGGCTCTCGTGTCGCTGGTGGATGTCATCCTCGTGACGCGTACGAATCTGCAGCTTGGTATTCCTGACAAGGCTTTTGTACTCGGTGACCACGTGGTCGCTGATGTAATCGGTCGGCTGAAAACCATGCCTATCGTGGTTCTCTGTGCGAAGTTGTGCCCCAGAGGCATTGAAGGTACGCTGTTTGCGTTACTCATGTCCATATCCAATGTCTCGTACAGTGTGAGTGAGTTCTGGGGCGCTCTTCTTTGCGACTGGGTGGGCATCACCAAGGACGAGTACGAAATGCTGGGTATTGCCATCGTGGTTCGGAGTGCGTTCAAAGTGGTGCCCATTTTCTTCCTCTTCTTGATACCGTCTTCCGACCCGCAAGATATCATCGAGAAGCTCGATTTGGGTACGTCAAGCCGCACTGCTTTGGAAGACGATGACGAACAGTCTGGCACAATTCAAGAAGACCATCCAGCAGAATCTTGCTCGCCTTCAGAAAAGATAGTATTGAAAGGCACGGCTGTCGCTGTCCTTTGACGAGGGGCTAGTCCCTAGGGCATGAATATCTAGACTGTACGATACACCTGCACAGGTTTAACAAGCATCCTCACTGACGAGAATTTTGCACTTATGTTGAATAGATCATTGATCGTATGCTGCCAAAACGTGTATGCTGTCTGCGTCGTGCCTGTTGTACATCGTTTGATCACATGCTTGGTTAGTAGTGTACCGGAGTACAAGTCCACCGATAACAGAGCGCCTCATACTTTTATGCCTCCCCAAAGCTAGTCGTTTATAATCCAAATGCTACGCTATAGCTACTAAATCAAAAATGGAGACTTCGCGGCTACACATCACGTTGCCTACAGGATTCCGAGACAAGCGCGTTGGTACTTGTCATACCAGCGTGTCCGCCAATTGTTAATGGATTGGTCGATCAGCTGGTTCACAAACATTTGACACGTGCTCGTACGAGCGCCCGGTTTGAAACGCGAGCGAAGACCCTCAACAACAGCCTTTTTCCCGCCAGCAAAGCACGGCAAGTCGGCATTTCCCACAAGCATCATCTCCACAAGCAGCACGATCTGATCCATGTTGCGGCGCAACGCCAAGTACGCACGAATGCAGAGCGACCTAAAGTAGCGAAAGGCCGAACTGCGAGGTCCGCCCATCAGCTCAACGAATTCATCCGTCAGCTTAAACGGAGCCCGCTCGAAATTCCAGTTACTACCGGGACTGTTGGTGAGAAAAAAACCGAAATCAATGTGGATCACATGTCCATCAGTGTCCACCAAGATATTGCCATTGTGACGGTCCTTGATCTGGAATACGTAGCAGACCATAGAATAGGCCGCGAGGCTCTCCACAAAATTTCGTTGAGCTCGAACAAACCCAGCGGTGTCTTTGTCGCCGTGGAGGCGAGTATAGAAGTCACTGCAAGAAAAAGGATGATTAGTGCTGGAATCGAACACACAATGGAAGAAACATGGACGGACTCACAGAAGCGAAGTGTAACCTGGGTCGTTCCGCTTGAGGGAATCGAGAGAAACAGTATCAGGGACGGCCTCAATAAGACCAGTCGTTGCTGACGTAGCGATCACATTGTACGGTCTACAGTAAGAAACAAACAGGAGCAGCGTTAGCCATACACCCGCAGATACTCAGCGAACAGGTCCAGCTAAACTTACCTCAGCAAGAGAGGAAGTGAGTACTCGCGAAAGATTCGATCACACTGGGCAATCAGCTGCGCTGCAAACTGTTCCTGGCGCAAGTCGTCGTTGCTCTTCACGATAACAGAGAGCAGTCGCCAACCTGGGTGGTCACCGTATGGCGATTCTTGGCGAATACGTGCTTCCTTCTCACTCCAGCGCTCACGAAACACGATCATCGGCTTTTCGTCCTCTTCGTCAGATGCCTCTTGCTCACCCTCTTTATCGTCATACAATGCAGAAGTGCCAACCGTTTCTTCATCTGGTTCGTCATCGGTAAGACTATCTTCCAGGTCAAACTTCTCTTTCCATGCCGTCGGATCAGCAAAGTCAAGGCTCACGCTCAGGTCACGCGGCCTTTGATGAAATAGAAGCTCCTCCTGTGAAATGACTTCGCCTTCCACAACACACTCTGAGGGTTCCGACGTAGACACATTGGGGCTGACAATTACAGAAGATGCAGCATTGTCACCTGCGCGAGGCGTAGCACCGTCTGACTTTTCAGCAGGACAAACCAATGCTGGTGTCGGCTTCCGATAAAACCACGAGGCAAAAGGCACTTGCTTTTCTGCTGGTTTTGACGTTACTACAGACTTCTCCATTTCACACACAGCAATGTCGTTTTCCAATACAAGCTCACGGCTCGAGTCAGTGTCCTCGTCATCCGCATCCTGAGCACAAGAATCATCTGTCACACCACCCTCGCTGAGCTCTGACGTTCTATCAGTAAATTTGTTGGCGCTCGAAAGTGCCCCCATTGACTCAGACTTCCCTCCGTTCGTCCGCTGGGCGTTATGTTCACTGCAAATCTTCTGTGCACTTGCCTTGGGCAAAAGTGATGCTTTGTCCGTTTCATCAGGCGCTACGGTAGCAGCTTTCGTGTTTACTTGAGACTTCTTTGCAAAGAAAGACCCCAAAATACCGGCAGACGCAGTGGACTTGACTGCGTCGGCTTTTCTGCCGTTCGATGTACTCGTCGCTCCACACTTTTTTTCCTTCTTGGACAACGACGTTGCCTCATCCGAATTATGAGTGGGCGCCAGGTTATCCGTCGGCTTTTTCGACAACACGGACGAAAAGAGACCCGAAGAATGAGCAGGGACAGTAAGACCAGCACCTGTCACAGAATCCTCAATCTTCGAAGCATCACCTACCCTCAACTCGTCATCGGTCGGCACACCCTCTCGTTTAGGCTCTGTTTGACGCATTGTGCTTGCTTTTGCATCGGCGTGTTGGCCGGCGACTTCAAAGCTCGCATTTTTCAAGGATAGCGGCACGTTGACGTTCCCAGTCGCGGTCACAGCTGCCGCTTCAGCGTCTAAGGTACTAGGTTGAGCAGAAACCCCTTCGACTATGTCACTGTTTTGCACTTCAGTTTCTCCGTCGACAGCACTGTCAGTTCCCTCATCAACGTAAGAGGGATCTCCACATTGTGTCAAAGCTGCTGCGAAAAAATTCTCAGCAGCCTCGCCGTCATTCAACCCGTTGGACGCAGAGTGACTCCGTGCGATACTGTCGTCCCCTTTAGCATCTTGCTGAGCTTTCTTCAAAAACCAGGATGAATAGAAGCTTTCAAACTGTCCTCCTGACCGAACCGATGCGCTGGACGAGTACTCTTTAATACTGCGCCGTCGAGGTCTCGGCAAGTTCCATTGACCAAGCCGATCCTGCTGCTCCACTTCAGCTTTTTGGAACTCTTCGTTCTCCGCAAAGACCGCTCTCGGTTTCCAGTTACCTCCTTCTTTCTCGTCATCACCGTCCTGGTCATTTCTGTCGTCCACTAGATTCCCGGCTAGTGCATCATCATCTTCCTCGGAGGAGGTCAATACACCAGCAACGCCTTCTTTTCCTCTCTCGTACTCAGACAACGGAGAAGCAGCACTTGGTGACGCTACCAGGCTCACTTCACTTTCGGGCGAGGTGCTGCTCGACATGGGGGAGTCATCTGCCGCATTTCCTATTGCCACCAGATCCGCATCGGCCTTGTTGAATGGCAATTTCAAATTAAAGACATGCGTCTGGTGACAACTCGCCTTTGACTTTTTCGTTTCTGGATGGCCGTTAGAGTCTGCGACAGCCGACACCGAGTAATCCAGCACTTCGACACAGAGGAAATACGGCACTCGCTCTTTTGTAGAAAACGTGAAACACTCGTCGACCCGAATGCCTTTAACACGATGACACGAGTTGCCGATGGGCAAGTAAATCACGTCCGACGGCAGCATTTGTTCATGAATAGCCACAAGCTCTTTGCGCAATTCACTGTTCCGTCGATGACGCGGTGTGGGAATCAGCTGTTCAGCCAGGTCCGTAAGCGCTTCAACAAACTTTGGCGTCTGCCGAAACAGCGAGATCTGCTGCGAATTGCCTTCTTCTGTCCTCGCTTCATCCTGCACGGAATTCCTCCGGCGCATCAAATGTCCTGCAAACGTCTCATCGGTTTCAAATGTCGTGATGTCCAGCTCATTATCATCCGTCGGGAAATTCGTCCACCGTCTCCGTTCCAAATTATCTGGTACTGCCGCCGTCACTTCTTCTACACAGAGACCGCTGCTCATGAGCAGCGCCGGCACTCCTGCTCGTCTCCCAATCGCTGTCAGCAGATCCACATTGTCCTGGTCCTGCGCTGCAGTGACACTCAAGTACTCCGAGCGGTACGTCCGTGCATGGTCGCAGAACGAGCGCAAGAACCACGTCAAGCGGTGGGCAAACGGCAGCGACTCGCCACTGCGAGACATGAGGAAACACTCGAGCTGATGCTGTTTGTCGTAGTTGCCGTGCATGAGGAACGTGCAGAGCTGCGGGATGTAAAACTCAAACTCGGCAGCATGGGCGTCGTAGCTGCTGTAGAGCTCTTTCACGACGTCTTGGTGGGCGTAGAGCTGCAGCAAGAGATGGAACGCGAGCGTCGGGGCCGCGTCACTGCGACACGTGCGAGTGCTCGTGAATTTGTCCATAGTCGTCCGCAGTTTCTCGTCCCAGAACACTCGAAAGTGCTCGACTTGGTCTCCGTGTTGGGGCGCTTCCAGCAACTTGCCACACCCGCGCGCAGCCTCTCGAGGCGTCGAGGCCGCTGAGGACGACGTCCTGGTTGTATCCGCTGTACTCGAGCGGTCTTTCGTCTTGGGGACCGGACTTTGGAGCCGCTTGTGCGCTTTCAGCGGTCGACGGAAGACCGAGTCGCGCACTTTCGACGGGAGCCCCACGACAAAGGAGAAGCGCGGCGCTGGAGCAGCGACAGCCGAGTCGGACGAGCTGGACGCGCGCCAGTCGCTCTCGTCCAGCGTCGCGTACCCCTCGCTCTGGTTGTCGTCGTCGTCGTCGCTGCTGCTGCTCTCTCCTCCGTGGACGGGAGAAGGCGCTGGCTTGAGAAGCGGAGGGGACGCAGGCGCTGACTTCATCACGGGGTTGGGCGGGACTTGATGCGGTCGCGTCTCGTGGTGGAAAGGCGCTCGATGATGATGTCGTGAGTTTAGTTTTCGCTATTGCTCGAGTGCTCGAAGGGAGTGACAGAGGAGGGAGAAGGAGGAGGAGGAGGAGGAGGAGACGAAAGTATACAGAGACGATGGCAGCGACCGCCTCTGCCGGATACGGTGGCGGCGGGTGCAGAAAACGACGAGCGAGGGGCAGGGTAGAGAAGAGACGGACGTACGATGTCTTGCCGCTGAAACGGCTGGGGGGAGGTGAGGAGGGGTGTCTGTGTTTACGAGAGGCGGGTTGGTTGGTTTGATTGGTTGGTTGGTTTGATTGGTTGGTTGGTTTGATTGGTTCGTTGTTTGGTTGTGTCCTGCTGGACTGCGCCTTTCGCAAATGACGGTGCGTTTGTCGTCCGTTGCAGCTATTTTGGGGATTGGGTCACTGAATTTGGGGTCTTTCTGCGCAAAAGAGATGCGTTGGTGGCGTCGCAGGACATGGGGGAGGGTCGTCGGATGGAGTGAATTGTCTTTCGTTAGGACGGTCGTTTTTTTGGTTTTTTTCGACGGACGACGTTGCCGCGCACGAGACGGAAGAAAACGCCAGTGCATGGGATAACCGTGAGCGGTCCACATTTCACTTCACAACTCTCCTCTCTCTTTTTTTTGCTTCTTTCTTTCGGTGCTTGTGACCGGCGCCCGTACCAACTTGAGTGAGAAAAAGTAGCTCACGAGAGGGCAGTAAAGTGATAATAAATACATCGGACGGTCCGCCTGCAGCTGTTGTCGTCTAGAAAAAGACTGCAGATGGATAGCACATGGAAGCAGATGTGCGGACAGCTGTGTTCCAACCTCGAGCCAGCGTTGTCGAACCGCTCCTCAATGTTCATCCTAGCGTAGTAAACGAAGCAGCGCTCGAAGCTTCGGGACATTCCTCGGATGTCCATTGTTCAACCTGTCTATCTTAAAGTCGTGTCTTGTCCACCACAGTAGCGAGCGACGCATGGCGGTGTGGCAGTAATCACGTGTACGTAACAAAGAGCCGGAGTAGCTAGAAGATAAATGTCACGAATGATGAATTAACATGCTCTGCGGTATCAAGCGAGCGGCGGGCCTGCAGCAGCGATCGGCTATTGGCTATAATCGCTCGCCGCCGTCGGGGACCGCAGCTTCCTACTATCAGTCAATCATCTCCTAGCAACAGTCTAACTGGTCAAAATCCAACCAGCCCACCTACCCGCCGTTGGCCAGCTGTCCACTCGTCGTAGTGACATCTAGTGACTCGGGCCAAGTCTCCACGTGGCATCCGAGCCGAAGCGACCTTTTGACCCAGGAGCTCCTTCCCCCTTGCTGTCATTCTCTTCTCGTACCTTCACCTGCCACGGCCGTGATGATCGACTCTATCCAGGGCGGCTGCTACGCAGCGCTCATTTCGCTCATGCTCGCGTCTAATTTCGTGCTCATCCCCGTGCCTCTCCAGCTCATTACGTCGGCCTCTGCCATCGTTTACATTGGCTCGACGCTCTCGCTGAGGCTTCAGCACGCGCGTGTCGCCAGTGGCGAGAAGAACGAGGAAGTCATGAAGGCCGAGGACGCCTACATGTTCCCGCTCATGGGCTCAGGCGTGCTGCTGGGACTCTATATCCTCTTCAAGGTGTTCGACAAGGACCTTGTGAACCTCCTCCTGACGTCGTACTTTGCACTCATTGGTGCCTATAGCCTCACCGAGGCGTTTAGTCCACTGGTGCTCTCGCTACTGTTCAAAGGCAGCTCGAAGACGTACACGCGCGTTTTGAAAGTGCCGTTCTACGGCCCGTACAAGCTCGTGCTGTCGCAAGCTTGGATGCTCACGTTCGTGTTGGCTTCCGTCTTTGCAGCAGCCTGGTTTCAAACCAAACACTACTTGCTGAACAACATTTTCGGTGTCTCTCTGTCGATCAAGGGGATCGAATCGCTCTCGCTCGGTACTTTCAAAGTGGGCGCGATTTTGCTTTGTGGACTCTTTTTCTATGACATTTTCTGGGTCTTTGGCACGGATGTCATGGTCACGGTTGCAATGTCGTTCGATGCGCCGATCAAACTGATCTTCCCACGTGAGTTTGCCACTGATACGGAGAAGCAGAAGAACTCGATCTTGGGCCTCGGAGACATTGTGATTCCCGGTATCTTTGTGGCACTGCTGCTGCGATACGACGCACACCGTGCGAACGTAACTAGAAGCGACCAGTCGTTTCCCAAGCCGTTTTTCCACGTGAACATGCTGTGTTATGTGCTGGGTCTAGTGGCTACAGTTGCGGTCATGTACTTCTTTGATGCAGCACAGCCAGCACTGCTGTACCTTGTGCCGGCGTGTCTGGGCTCAGCGCTGATTACTGCGTTCGTTCGTGGCGAGTTTAAGGAGCTGTTTGAGTACTCGGAGGAGGAAGAAGAGGAGGAGAAGAGCGACAGTGTGAAGGACAAGGAAGAAGACGACGAAGAGGAGACTAAAAAGTCCAAGTAGGCAACAAGTGGGAGAGCCGTGCTAGTCAATTGTTTGCATGACAAGCAGACTCTTGTACTCATGACAGGTTTGTCAAAGATGGATCGAAAGATACCATTGCACTGAGGATCATTGGTAATTGACGAACGCTGTGTGCAGCATGACCAGTAGGTAGTTCGATTAATGGCATTCACCACTGGCTACGAAAATAGCTGATAATGTATGAGTCATGATCGGCGATATGATCAGAATTTGCAATTGTGGGTTGGCAACGGTTAATCTACCCTCAGTTTCTTGTAAAATCCCTTCAGTTTGATACACTCTACATGATTGGCTAATTTATGGACATGCCTTGAGGGTCTACTATTACTGTAACTATTTTTCAATATCGATTTGACCTACTTTGATAAGTACGATTTGTAAGCTCGGTATTCAACCTTGCACACAGTCACTTACAGCTTCTTCACCCTTCGGGCTCGCAACAAAATATTGAGCACAAATAATGACTTATTGCTGCTTGTGCAACGTGAGTCGAGGTACATGGCTGTGGACCGGCTTTGGCTTCAGTATTGGTTCAGATAGCTTTGGTGTTTGCAGCAGACAAGGAGCGAGAAAAAGCGTCAAAATTGAGGGAATTACAGATAATCCAACTCTTGTCGTATTTCGAGTGATTGCACATCTGAGCACGAGGTATGATGGTATTGCCGCGAATGAGACATAAACTGCTGCTGAGCTAAGCATGTTAACGGTGCAGACCAATAATCCGAGCGAAGACCGTGGTGTGAACGTTGTAAAGACGACGGGACTAGTATACAAATCAACACGGTTTTCGACAGGCTTGGCGGCTCGAGAGCTGTAAAGAACGTGGATGCAAGCTATTTGCCCTGAGATTACGTTTACTTGATATGGTCAATATGCTTTGTGCACCCGTTCTCATCCATTTGTCAGGATATGATTGATGACATGACCTCTTTCAGCATAAGTGATGAGGCCCATGCAATCATCGACAGCGCTTTTTCTCGCTCTGACAAAGAAGTAAAGCAGTCGCTCTTGCTCTCATCGTCTTCATGTCGAAAAGATACTTCAGCGTTGAGTCGTGCGCCTTCATAGCGTTGTTCACTCACAAGGTGCTTAATGTCGCAAATGTGAAAGACTGCACTGCTGTGTTAGAAATGAGGAGCAAGGAGACTACAAAATTACGGGCGCACGAAGTAGCAGCTGACGATTCGTGCAATAATCTTCACGATACTGATCTGTTGACCAAGCGCTCGCACGATCGTAACAGTAAACTCGATCATTAACGGTGAATCGTGATGCTTGACGATTATCTCAGGCATACACAGCGGTTTTTGTGTCTGGGCGGCAGGCAGGATTGCAGAGTCGTGACTCAAACGCAATATCTAAGTGTACTTGTGTACCTGGGGATACGAGAGTAGTCTATCAAAGGAGGGTTGTTTTACCCGTTCCGTGTTAGTCCGTATCGAATGATTAAAGATCGTCCCACTTGTGTGGTTTTCACTCAATGTTTACGTAGGGCGGGGAAAACAAGGGCGGGGAATGTAAATAGCTTCTGATGTTTGAAGCATTCATCTCAGACTTCTCGTCCGTGAGGTAGCAGCAGCACATAAAGTTTGGAAAGTGGTTGAAGGCTTGATTGCGCTCGTCATCCTCTATGTGCATGGATCGCTTTGCCTTGCCAAAGTGTAGCATTTGAACTTCTGCAGGGATGCTGAGACACAGATCGCAAGACGATTCACTTCCCCATTGGCAGCTAGCTGCATTATGAGGCCGGTCCCGCTAAGAGAACTCCCTCAAGACCGTGACGACCCCCGTTGAGATCCAGTGCTGGTTGTGTACAGTAGCACCTAGCCACAGACTCTTCGTCCAGTGGTGCGTCTGGGCACATTTGAGCACGTTGTGAGCCCGAGCCGACCTGAAGAGCAAGAAGTCGACTACGAGATGATGGCCAGGGATAACCTCAAGATGGCTCGCTGGGACTGCCGCCGTGGTAACAGGACTCCTAGTCAAGTGCTTTGTGTCCCCTGAATCAAATTACTCTAAGCGCGAGAGCAGCTCCGCCACTGGTAGTGTGCACACAAGAATCTAATCCCGGACTTGGTCAACGGACGGTTCTTCAGGCCCTTTTGGGAGTGCCCCGCCGTGACGCTCGACGTCTTGAGCCAGCAGAATGAGAAAAGCTAGGAGTAGTAAGACTGTGTCACGGTAGATGACACGAGGGGGTAACTAAAAAACAAGACATCTTATTAGTGGTAAGCAGCTATAATAGACAGTCTGAGCCTCCAGGTCGCGAGACGATATCCTACGGAAATCAAGTTTGCGTCTTAAGACCGAAAGGTACGGAAGGTTAGCCCCGTGCCATACATCCCCGATATTCCTGCATCCGCGACTTTCGCCTACAAATCTGTTTCAAAGAGAATCATCTGTTCCTCAGCGAACTTCATGAGCAGGAGGCATAATATAGAGGTCAACAGCTCCTTCGCCGGACCAGCCACCAATAGAAGCACCAGCAATTCGCTCAGGCACCTGGCTATGAAGTGAGCTGGCGCATACAAAGCAGAGGAGGTGTGGTGACAAGAGTGGCGTGCTACCCCCAATCGGCATGGAATACGAAATGCGATTGATTAGCAGCAGTAGCCACGATCAAAAGGACACATTATTACCGAGATTCTTTCGTCCCCAGTAAACGGTGTAGGCTCAGGATCAGCATCCTGACTTCATGCCCCACTCTTCAATACCCGCTTAGGGACGTGTCTGATACACCAAGCAGCAAATAGTGATTCGCAGATCATGACTCAGAGGTTTGAACGGTGTACGAGTATGCAAAGAGAGGTACACGAGAGTCCGCACAGTCATTTACAAAGACTGCTAATACCGTCCTAGACGACAAAAAGACGCAAAATCATTGAAAACACGACATTGGGAAACTTTGTTGACGTGTTGCACTTAAGCTAAGCCTCGTCGCTTATAACTGTCCATAGATATGCCGCGCGCGCGAAGATTGTTGACAACAAGCTGATTGCTCTTGTCCGCAACGTTTACAACGACCGCTCAAAGTCATGACTCATCTTGTGGTGGGCATTCGCTTTGATCGCAACAAGTGATACAGCAGCCTTTAAAATCGCCGCCGTTTCTCGCATAGGCTTCGCACGTCTCTAAAGCCATAGAACTGACACTTCCACGTCCAAAATCGATAGAGCACTCACATTCGGCTGCCTGAGAAGAGGCAAACGCAATGCCAACTGCAGTGATGGAGACGAAGAGGAAGCTGGGGGAGCGCATGCTGGCGCAAACTTAGGAATGATCCGTTGGCTCCGAAGCAAAATGCGGAATGACAACTGAGAAGGCAGCGCTCGAGAATCAAAGCGCCACGTGCGCAATCAGTATCCAGTCACAGGCGGGGGGTGCCATAAAAATTATACCGGCGATGACGCACTTCTCACTGCCTGTTTATGCCGGTGCGTAGACAGGTATCAGGCTCAGAAGGATCATTTTGTGATCAGACGGCTCTGCTTGCGCATGGATTCCCATCAGCTGTCAACGGTAGTCTCTATAACTTGATATCGCTCTGCATCATGCTAAGCTGTATGGTGTCACTATGGTCAGCTGCAATTCCATACAGCTACAAGTACATTTCGATCCTTCTCTCTAGACCTTTCAGTTTTTATTTGGGGCTCAGCCCCGCCTCTCCCATACTTCAACCTAAGGCCCGTCACACGGGTGGAAGCATGCTAATGGCCTTTCCGGCTATCAGGTCTGGACGAATTACCGAATCGCCACCAAGCAAATCAACCTGTATCATGCCGGCCGCCAGGCGGACATTAGTTAGTTGTCGGGCGCTATCGACGTGTCACGATCACAAAGAAACGTCGGCTCACATCTTTTGGGACTGCCCCAAGGCGCGCGCGTGCTGGGGTAAACTTATTAGTCATTGGACAGGTGTACGGGCTGGGTGGCCGTTTAGAGCGCGCAGCTTCCTCGGGAGTGTGAATCGTCAAGCGCCTGTGTTACCGGTCAAGCAGCGTCTTCGAATCCATCATCTGCTCCCAGAGGACTGGGAGGCGGGTGACGCGGTTTGGAAGCGTCTTTGGTTTATTATGAGCAGCGTTTGTCTGACGCACTTATGGAGTGAGCGGGACGACGCGGTTTTTCGAGATGTGCAGTCGACGGCTCTTCCGGCGCCGCGCGTTTTTGGGCGCTCGGAATTCGACATCTTACAGCGTTAGCGAAACGCGAACATCGCGGTCCCGACACAGCTGTAGCCGGGGATATCATGTATACCTGAATCGACCTCTTTACTCTCGAACCTCGAGACGGGTCGATATCTTTAGAAGACAGCCACAACATGTTACCGGTTCCGGAAGTTGTGTCCTGGCTTAAAGTTTTTCGACATCTTGTGCACAATTATGTGTTAAAAGACGGTCGTGAATTCTCTCTCCCATACTTCAACCTACTGTAGCCGGAGACGATTCGTTGATTCCAACTGCAATCAAAGCAAGATGCCGTCAAAAAGCTTCTTGAGCGCTCGTTTTCACGTCTTGGATCCAAAAATTCATTTAATGGACACATCGTTGATCAGCTCAATGGTGAAGCCTGAAAAGGCATTGACCTTTTCAGGCTCCAGCGGTCATCATACGGAGACGAAAGTCAGAGTAACATGCAAAGATTACGGAACCGATTCGACAACCAAGTTCTAAGGTAGACAAAATGACTTCTTGTCAGAAAAATTGTAGAATGCTATCATTTTTCCAACGAAGTGAGTAATCTACAGAAGCAAACGGACGGCCATGGAAAGGCGAGCAGCAAGTTAGGAGTCGTCCATGGATCTCCGGTAGCATAAACGAAATGTGGGGTGCAACGAGCTGCCGACAGCTGCAGCAGGAGATGTACTGCATGGAAAGGACCGTCGGTCTCCGATCAAGCCAATAGTCACAGACGAGGCAATATTTTTGGATGATATATGACAACGGCATCATGAATCACAAGGAAAGTTTCCACATCAA